CATGGACTTTTCATCGACGGCCTTTAACCATAGCATAAAAGGTAAAACTCGACTCAATTGGCAAATCACTTCGTTCACACACACTCTGGATTCTTCGCTTCTCTCTGTTGAAACCCTAAAGACACATTCGTCTGTAGTAAATCCGCCGCCAACCGTTATTCGTTGATTGTTTGATCCATCCACCATTATTCGCTGATTGTTCGATCCATCGTCTAACCCTCACACATATACCTCATATTCTCCATCTCTCTTCCAGATTTTCAGGTATTCCAATTTTTTTTTTTTTTGCATTTCTCTACAAATGGATCACACGTTATGATATCATCACTAACTGTTCAGTCTTTTTGTCGTTTCTATCCAATCATTAAGTGACCACCCTCCCCATTTGATGTGACTTTGGAAATTTCAACTTGTATATATGCGTATGGTTATTTCTATAGTGCTGAGATGAAATTGTTACTATGCCAAATATGCTATGTTTGAACTGATACGTTACTTAAATGTCAGGAAACAATCTATCTATGAAAGTTCTAGAACTTATCGATAAATTTCTTACTAATCTTAGTAGATCTGTTGTGTGCCACTATTTTGCTCTAATGTTTAACTTTTGAAATTAAATATGGCTTTACAATCTTGAGATTGAATGAACTAATTTTAGTTTAATTTTTGCGTTATTTTTCTTGCATCATTTGTTTCATTACATAGAAGACTTCGTTTGGGATCTGATTGAATTTGGTAAATACCTATAATTACTCACTATATGTGGTCATAAAAACATATTCATTATCAAGTATTTGACTAAAAACAAATAATTTTGTTTGTTTAATTTGACGACAATTGTTTATAAAACTAAATTTTATTCGAGCAAGGGGCTGTTTACCAAGCGCTTATCAAGTTATATTACCTTACCGTATAAATATGGTGAGGACCAAGAATCTTACCCCGGTAAGAGCGAGGCAAGGACCGAGAGTCTTACATGGTAAGTGAAGGCAATGACTTTTACCACAATTAGCTCTTACCGGGTAAAATTGTAGCATATGATGCCGTTTTTTGTTGACCAAAATCTTACCCGATAAATAAATAATAGTGTTGAATTTTACTGATAAATGCTTACCGAGTAAGTGTTTAATAAACAACCCCTGAATTCTTTATAAAAAAAAGCATTTATCGACTTTCATTGCATGATTAATAAGGAGAAGAAATTATGAACAAAATATTTTGTGAACCACAAACTGGTTCTATAATATATTTATTTATACATGTTTTAAAAAATAAATATTGTTCTTCTATATTTTTATTTTCTTTTAATTATTTGTTAATATTTATATCATTTTTGATTTGTGCCCTCTTTCTAAAATTATTTATTCATATATACATAAAATACATTTTAATTTTGCTTAAATTATATAAATAGTGTCTATTGTTCTAACATTTAGATATAATTACTCTGCAGAACGCTATCATTTTGACATTTTTAACATAGGTTAATGTTGCATAATATCGACTGATAAATTTTAACCCTATAAAAAAACCTAAAATAATATGGGGTTTTATATAATACACTACATACATTACCGCTAAAACTATTATATATGACCATGACCATAAGGGTGTTGTGTGATTGGTTTGGGTTTGGACTCCAAAGGTCAAAAGTGTTTGAATGTCACATGTTCAAATCCAATAAAGAATAAAAATCCCCTTGCGGCTACGGAGGTTCAAATGCGGTGATTCCAGGCTACTTGTAAAGCAGGAGGTCGCACTGGGATTAGTCAGCTCGCGTTGTGGATTGGATATCGAGATTAATTAAAAAAACTATTATACATGTTTGTTTGTTTTTCTTAGGCTTGTTATTTGAGTAAACTACAAATTGGTTCTTGTAGTTTGTTAAAATAACACTTTTGGTTTTTGCAGTTTTAAAATTACAAGACATCCATCATGATTTGTAAAAAACGTTCAGATTTGATGACATCCTCTGACGGTCCATTAAAAAATCTCGTTAAATTAGATGCATTTTGTTCTTTATCAAATTTTCTTTTCTTTTACCGAATCAAACTTGATTTTATGATTTTCGTATCTGTTGTTTTGGATTGTCTAAAAGACTAAAAATCCATAAAAGAACGAAAATGTTATTATTTAACAAAATTTTATAACGAGTCTTAAAGGGAGAGACCAAATCCGGACATTTTTGTAAACCATGATACTTATCGTGTAACTCCAAACTACATAGATGAAAAGTGTTAGATTGAAAAACCATAGGGGCCAAATTGTATTTTACTCATGTTATTTTTATTTAAGATTTTTTTTTTTACCGATTCTTACTTTTATTCGTTTAATTTGGTTTTACATTATCAGTGTAAATATGTTCATTTTTGCGATTAGGCTTTATATTACAAGGTTATTATATCCATATTTAATATTAATATTAATAACATCTTAACAATTTAAATGATTAATCAAATAAAAACCCTATATATTAGCATGAAATATTTATCTTAAAATATCGTTTTACATTATTTTTTTTCTGTCTAAGACTAATATTTTGTATATTGATTAACATATATTTGTTTTACTGTATGCAATTCATAATGTAAAAAAATTTACGTATATCTTTTGTTCTATAAATATGTCAAATAGTTTAAATCAAATATATATTAAACAATATCCTAAATTTTAACTGAAAATTTTATTTGATGTAAAATATAATGCATTGTTTCTTAAAATTCTCACGATTTTATAGATACTAAAATTATTAGCCTTTCATTCGTGAATAGATTTTTTTTATTATTATTTTTGAGTAAATTACATTTTTAGTTGTTGTGGTTTGATTAATTTTTTATTTTTAACCTTATGATTTTGATATTACGATTTTCATCCTCATGTTTTATAATTGATTATTATTTTTGTCCTTAAAATTCAAACGTTGTTGTTCTTTCACCTCTATGGTTTATAATTCATTTCTATTTATGTCCTTCGTACTTAAAAGTAGGGTTTAGCCTCAGGGACGAAACTAAAAATAAATTGCAAACAATAGTAGGCATGGCAATGGGGCGGGGGATGGGGGGGGGGGGTTTTGTAATCCCCGGCCCCGGTTTGTAGTAACGTCCCCCGACCGCGGTCTCCGGTCAAATCTCTAGCAATCCCCGTTTAAACCTCATAAATAGTATCTTTAGTTTGATTCTACCGGAGATCCTCGGCCCCGACCCCGGTTTGAGTAACATCCCCCATCCCCGGTTTTAGTCTACCGGGGATCCCCGGCCCCATGACTTGTTTTAGCGGGGAATCCCCGTTCCTATTCGGGTCGGGTGAACTGGGTTCTCCACCAGGTCGGGGCAGATCACCATCCCTAAACAATAGGGACAAAAATCACAGCTTCAAAGCCAGAAGAGGGAAATCTGAAATTTTCAACAAACACATGGACGAAAGATATAATTTACTCTTATTTTGTTTTTTTGAGTAAATTACATATTTCATCCCTGTGGTTATTAATTTTTTTGGATTAGGTCCTTCAAACGAAATAATTACATGTATAGCTACAATGGTTTCACTTTTGTTATAGATCAAGTCTCTGGTCTTATTGGGTCTATGTTATGTAGGGGGTAATATCGTCAGCTAATATAACGGATTGAATATTCAAGTTAATAAAAAAATTGTCTTTTAACAATTTTCTTTTATTTTCATTTTTAAATTATACTTATTATATTTAATATCCATATAATATTAATAAAACTTATCCATCATCACTTTTGTTATGGATTAAGTCTCTTGGTATTATGTGGTGGCTGGAAATGGGGTATGACCGAAAACCATAAATGGGGAGAGAAAACTACTTATATATAATATAAATTTATTTATACTCATTTGTAAACTAGATTTATCAAAAGTCTTAAAAATAATTTTTAATGCACAAAGTATTATACATTTATGCACAAAGTCTTAAAGTATTAAAAACAACTTATAATGCATTAAATACTACTACTTTATGCATGCAGTCTTAAAATATCTTAATCTACAATTAAAATAACATATAATACAAGTTACCAATGCATATTATTACATTTTCTTTTCATGTTCTCAATATACTTTTGACATCTTTCACTCATGTCTTCACTCTCTCATACATCTATGTTTTCTTCTCATCCCTCAATGTGAGATTCAAATTGATATTCACCATGAGTTATTAAAAGTTATCTCATTCAATTATTCTAGAACTCTTGGTCTCGATCTCTTGATTCTTTGTTCTTGGTGTAAATCGAACACATTTGTGGAGTCGTTTAAATATGTTGATTTTAAATATATTGGATGTTAAACTGTCATACAAAATTTTCATCGATAGACTGTAATTGGGACCATAACTCTTATTTATTCAAATTGTATTCATATGTAAAGACCAAGTGTAACTTATACAATCGTTAAATATTTTCTAATAAAACCAATGAAACTTCAAAATCGTTAAAATTCACGGCTCCCGCCGCATTGCGCAGGTACACAACTAGTATTTTATTAAATGAATATGAAAAAAGTAAAAAGATTAAAATATCCTTACTTAACAACTCTAAGGGGGTGTTTGACAATTGCTGAATGGTTTGGTGCATAATGATTAGGTGGTCAGAATGATTAAGAGACTCTTATGATATAGTGCAAAATAAAAAATAATTGTTTGGTAATTGTGTACAATGAAATTATGGCTCTTAATGGTTAAGAGAGATCCAAGATACAAAATCATTCAGAGGGTTTTAGAACCATTAAGAGACAATTTTTTTTTTGTCAAACAAGATTCACCTCTTAATGGTTCAGATGTTGCCTCTTAATGAAACTATTAAGAGGTAAACAAATAACCCCTAAAATAAATATAGTTAGGTTGAATGACCTACACGCAACAAAAATGAAACCACAATAACGTTATCTGCAATTAATTTATAATCTATAATTTTGTTATAAAACCACAAGGATCAAATCTGTAATTTACTCTATATTTTTTTTTGTAAAACATGGTCGTCTTCAAAAGTAAGGAAGTAAGAAGTATGGTGGTCAAATTAGAAAACTTGAAAGTTTATGGCGGTTAAACGTATGATCTCGCAAAACTGAGTATAACCCGACCCATTTGATGGGGAGAACTGACACGGCGAGGGTTTTACACAGGCGACCGGCGAGGGTTTAGAGCAAGAAGCAGAGGCTGCAGCAGATAAAACGAGGAACGCCCAAATCCAATTGGAAGATAAATTGTTACAAAATCGATGTGGTAGCTACTCCTGGGCATAAGCCCTAGAATCAGCAGCCATGGCGGAGAATTTGGAATTGGAAGATGAATCTACAACGAATCCTTGTTGTAACGAGGTAATTTATTTGATTCTTATGTTATCGAATATTAGTTTACTTTTCTAAGTGTAATGATTCACGATATTTCATGATTTCAGACGCTGGTTTTAGTTCTTGGTTGATTTTTCTTGATTTATATTTAAATCTTTGTATGTGTGTACTGATAAATACAATGTGATATCAGTGGAAGAACAGGATTTTGAAATTGCAGAAGAGGTTTGAGAGGACGGAAAAAGCTCGGGCGGCCCTTAAGGAGGCAGTTGAGATTTATGAGCGACAGTTCACTGCCATGGAGGTTACAAATCTGAAATTCAAGAAGGGTAAGAATATGTTCACTTAATGAGCTACAGTTCACATATGCAATTTTAAATGTTAACTATGTGAAGTACAAAGGTGTTATGTAACCTGTGAAATTTAGGAGGACGATGGGAACATTGCATTCTGACTGTTAGGGTTGACCTTGCAATTTTATGCCATCAATAGATGTCAACTTAGTTACTTATCCTAAAACCAAAAAACTGCGGTTGATTGCATTACTTGACAGCGAAAGAAGTACTACCATGTGATCTTATTTGAGTTGCTAATGAAAAAATAACCCATTTTAAACACAAAAATCAATGACGAATTGAGTTTATTACTGCAAAGGCTTACAGTTTCAGTAACAGTCTTGATATTTGTATCCTGAGCTTTCGGGCAGCAGTCTTACAATATCACATGATTCCTTGAGTATACCAGTCTGGTTTGGACCTAGGAGGGAGATTTCATATATTTAGATTTCATTCTACTCATTACTTTTTTATATAGCAATCATATTATAAATATTTCAGTTATCATGCGTCCTTAAACGAAGTGTTAATAACATATTTTCCACAGTCTTTATAACAAGGAAGGGACATCCTGGATATATGCAGTTCGTTCATATTGACAGTTGTAACTTGTAGCTTCTACTTTTAACCTTATTTTACAAAACAACTATTTAAAAGTGACTAATGGCTGGACTGATTCTTTTGTGCATTACATGTTTTGTAGCTTATGAGGCGGAGAAGCTGCAGAGTGACCAAGAAAGGAAGGATAAAGAAAAAGAATCAGCTGCAAGAGTTTCATTGGAGAATGAAATATCCACCCTGAAGTCTGAGATTTTATCATTGAGTCAAAAAGGAGGTTCAGTACCGGAACATGTGGATAATGAACTTATACTTCTCCGAGGACGCGTTTTGGACAGCGAAAAGGAGATAAATCGCCTCAGAGAGCAGCTCCAGAAGGAGATAAGTGTAGCAGCTGCTGATAGAATGAAATATGTGGAAGAGAAGAAAAGAGTTGATGACGCGTGGCAAAGTTCTAAGGCTGAAAAATGCAGGACTGACGAAGAATTAAGTAATCTTAAAGCACGGCTGCTTACTATGGAAACAGAAAAGAAACAGTTAAGGAAGGATCTTCAAAAAGAGAGAGCTAGAGCAGATTCAGAGAAAAAAAGAGCTGATGAAGCTTTGAAAACTGCAAAGACTGATCAGATTGGAGCCGAAGAAATTAAGGCTGCAAAAAAGAATATGGAGATGATGAGAGGAACGGTGAGAGATCCATTGGTGGATGACTTGTCTTCTCAAAAGTCCGAGGATCTCTTGTTACAGCACAAAGGGCACTTGGGAGATCAGAATTTGGATGTAGTTACCTCCCTTCAAGGGCATGTATCTGAAATGGGAACAGAAATAAGTAGGCTCAAAGAGCTTCTTGATAAGGAAAGAAGACGAGCGGACTCTGAGATAAAAAAAGCTGAAGCAGAGAAGAAAAAAGCTAATAAAGTGCAAGAGATGTTGAAGGCAGAACAAAGTGCAGCTGATGAGCAAAGAAGGTTAGTTGATGTTGAAAGGAAAAAAGCTGAGGAAACTGCACATCAGTTGGAAAGGTTAAAGTGTGAAGCAAACGAGGCAAGATCGAAGGTGGCTCCGGATAGTTCAAAGTTTAAAGAGGTAAACAAGAAGCTTGAGGCTGAAAGGAAAAAATCGATCAAAGAGAAAAAGAAAGCTGAAAAACAGCAAAAGATCGCAGAATTAAGTACAAAGAATGCTTTGGAGGAGAAACACCGTGCTGATCGTCTTCATCAACAGTTAGAAGAGTATCAGCAGAAGTATGCTAAGTTGAAGAAAGAGATGGAAGAAACTATTTCCTCCAGAAATGTAGTTGAAGTGCCTGTGTACGCACCTGGTAAAAGGACATTTCCTAGAGAACTAAATGCTGGGAGTCAGGGAGAGGAGAAAGTTAATGGAACAAATACTGCAAGGACAGTGAAAAATCATGGGCAAGTAAAACAGAAGACAAATCAAGCAAGAAACTATGCAGATTTAGAGATGGAAAAAGAAGCAGAGCAGAAAAAGGCTGCAGAAACGTATAAACTGCAGGCTATGACAGAAAAATCTCGTGCTGATAAGTTAGCACAGCAACTAAAAGATACTAAACAAAGGACTATAAATGCAGGTAAAGATATCCAGGATCTGGTTTCTTCCAGAAATTTAACCGACCCTTCTTTTGTTCTGATTCAGAAGGATATCAAAGCTAAATCTGCTGAAATGAAACTTTTAAAGAAAAGGCTGAAGCTTGAAAAGGAGAGAGTAAAACATGCCAATAGAGTTGCTGAGCTTGAAAAGAACTGTACAAAAGCAGCGGAAGAAGAGCTTCATCGCCTAAAGGTGGAGTTTGCTCAATTTGCAAATCGTGTAGGCCTCTGTAGCTGTTTTCCCATCTGCAATGTAGGTAAAGCTTGCCTGGAAAAGGTTGGTTTTGAATTGTTTTTCCCTAGTACTTCATATCTCTTATTATTAAGGTTGGGGTACTTTATCTTTAAAATTTTTGTCACCACAATGATGCAATATCTTGTTTTTTGTTGTTTCTGTACTTGTTGATGACATTAATAAGGCTCTACTGGGGTTGCATTTGCTTCGAATAAGTGTGGTAGTGTCAGAGGTTAACTGAGCTTTTGATTGCTTCATTCTTAAGTTTGGCTGCTTGGTTTTATGACAGCATGCTGCATTCCTTGTGATTTATGAATAAATTGATTCTATATGTACTATGTTTCCTTGACAAGAAACTCTCCCATTTTTTAAACATGATCGATGTACTAAGTGGCCCTTTTTCTTTTCACAGAATGGCAATGTAGACTCAAAGAGGAAATTTATGCAGACAGAAGCATGTCCTTTGCACCTTCAGAGTGGAAAAGAACTTATGGAGCCTACTTGTGGAGTTACAAAATTCTCTGAATATTTCAAACCAAGTTTAGATTGTCCGGCGCCTTCACTTCCTATATCTGGAACTTGTACCGAGTCTACCTCAGGTACTGCCTCTAAAATGGAGCCTCTGCTTGGAGGCTCTAACAGAAAAAATGTAGACAGTTCTGCCCTTGTTTCAAGCATGGCATCTTTTTCTGATAGACAGTTGGTGGGCTCACAGGGGAATTGTGGTTTTTTCAACACTAAACCAGCTGATAGGGCTAAAGAGAATTCCAATCTACAGTTGCCTATTTCTCGGTTGTCTAGTGAGGCTAATAGGACAAGCTATGATGCAGTGGTGGCCGATAATAATGTCAAAAGTCCCCTTAGGGCGAGAAGCAAAGATGGAAACACCAGGAAAAGAAAGAGGCTCGTCAATGCAATTGAGTCTATTGAGCATTTGTATGCTGAGGGTAAAACATGGCATGCAAAGATAGCAAAGAACATGTCTGCATTGCATGGTATATTAGGTCACATGGATAAACCATTGAAAGAAGGAATGCATTCTGATTATGATCAACATCACAGAAAGATAGAGAAACATTTTGAAGAAGTAACCGTGAGAACTTCTTGCAAGTCTATTGAGCAAAAGGAGGAGCCAAGAATAAAACCAGTTGGAGATGAAGATGTTGAGTTCATTGCTTTTGAAAATAATGCAGTGGAAGCTACTCATACAAGCAACAGTGATCTTGATAAATTAGCCAATGATGTTGAAATTTTTAAGAGAATGTTCGAAGGTGACTACATGAAGTTGCTCAATTTGGATAGTGCAGTTGAGGAGGAAAGATATCGTGCTGCAGTTGAATGCCCTCTTTCACCTACTCTTCCAAACATTGAGTTTGAAAGCAATCAATCAGATGATCTAGATCAATCTATGCCATCTGAAGTTAATTGTTCATCTGGGGGATTGCCAAGGGTAGGTACTTGTATGATCCCGTGTTGCAGTTCTGGTGGCAGGACTAAAGAGGCAAGTTACAACATGTCGACACTCAAAACCTATGGCGATCCCGTGGAGATCTTCAGGAATGATGAAGATGGAAAAAGGACCACCATACTTGTACCAAGTGCTTGTATTAGCCAGGACCAAGATTCTGATGCAGTAATGGGGATCTTAGATTCAGGACATAAGGGGACTAAGAGCTCATGCGGAAATGAATCTGGATCTGCTTATGATGATTCTTCTCAATATTTTGTTGTATTTCCAGAAATCAGGGACAGCAGCAGCCTTTCCAAGATATTTCACACCACAAGAACTTTTACAAGTCAGTGCTGTGAAATTTCTCAGAGTGATTGCGTGGTCAAAAATGTAGTTTCTGCTCTTTCTGCGGATGAAATTCTCTCGTCCAAGTAAGTGCCTTAAAAGATCTTTCTGCACATTGCAGCATTTCAGAACAAATCTTTAGTCCAACACTAGTCATAACTAACCATGATACAGAAAGCACTAGCAAAATTGATAATTTGACATTTTTGAATATGTGCTTAATTTTTTTTCTACGTGTTCTCTTTGATCTTGTTTTTTAGTATGCATTGTCATTTAATGTTTACTCTACCAGGGAAAAGGTCTGTGCATTCTTTTCGCTATTCTTGATGAGTTTCTCGGGAGTTGCTTTGACTAACTTCAACCGTGTCTTTGATGGGAACTTTTTAAACAATCTAGACATCTTTTCTGGACATATGGGGAAAGGTAGGTGTTTGTCATAGTGCTTATCTTAGTTTCAGATTTTATTTAGCTTTATAATTTTCGTGTGTTTTATTCACCAGTTCTTATTTTTTATTTGCAGTGATGTCTGATGTGGAGACAAGAACCTTCTTTGCAGAAGTATGTGACTTGGATGAACTTATTACTCTCATTCAAGATTTTATTATCGATGGAAAAGTACTGGTCCACACTGATAAAAGTTCCGAGACACTATCATTATCAGACTCTAATGTACATATCCTTTTGAAAGACGAAAGTATTTCTTTATCCTTGCACAAAGCTTCGTTGCATCAGTTGGTGCTTGGAGCAGTTTTATTAGCATCAGTTTGTGCAGATTTTGACCGCATTGAGTCTATATGTGAAGCCTCATACACCATTTCTCGCATCGCCAGTTCCTCAACTTTGACAATTTTACATGTCTTTGCATACATATGTGGAGAAAAATTGCTACGCCATGGTGATTACAGTTTAATAATGACTGTAATAAATTCTTTAGTTATATACTGTGAGAGGGAAAATTTGTCATTAGGCTTCCCCTCATGCACCAAGTGTCCATTTTTTGACGGTGCTGTTTCCATGGAAGAACTCGCATCACTTCTCTTGAAGAGTCTTTGGAGCTATGCCTTGTGTGCCCAATGTGAGGGCTGCAGTACAGCCTGCTGTATGCATGAATTTGGGATCATCACATACAAATCAACAACAGTTCCTGATGGCACTTTGTCTAAATTGGGTGATGTTCTGTCTCTATTGGAGCTGTTAGCATCGAAGATGGTATGAATTTCATGTTACACTATTTAATATTTTCTTCTCCTGATCGATTTGGTATCTTGATTAGCTTACCTTTGGCGAGTAGAACTGCTTTCTGCCGAGGATACTAGTATACTACATGTGATGTTTATGCCTTTATGTTGTCATTTAATAGGAAAATATGGGGTGTTGAGTAGCATTTCTGTTACGATAATGGTAACATTTTATGCAATACTGGACTTGAGATTCTGGTTGTGCTAAGTTCCATCTAGATGGAGAAAAATCCTAGGGTTAGGCAACAATTTCATCTTCTTATTGAAAGCTTAAGAATACAGCACTTCACTGGCACTGAGAACCGTCAATAATGGCAATCTGGATAAGCAACTCTGTGGAAGGTCATAACTGGAATCGATGGGCCATAAATGACTTAGGGGCTGTTTACTAAACGCTTACTCGGTAAGCATTTACCCGGTAAGCATTTACCTTACCGGATGAACATGGCAAGTGCCGAGAATCTTACCGGGTAAGAGCGATGATAAGGATGGAGAGGCTTACCCAGTGAGTGAAGGTGACGGCTCTTATCCGCTAAGTGATTGGCGCATAAATTGTTGCATGCAATACCGTTCTGATGGACTATAATCTTACCCGGTAAAGTAAGTTATTGTTGACCCTTACCGGCGCTTACTGGGTAAGCATTTAGGTAAACGGCTCCATACCGAAGTGGATGTTTGCGATGCACTGTGATGCGTTTATTCAACTCATTTGAGCAATATCGGTTGTGGATACATCACCGACTGTTCACAGTGATTATGCTCTCCCTTTGATATTAATCGAGTTAAATAGGAAATTATTTTTGGGGTAGATCATGAGTGCCTGCATTGACTGATGGCACTGATGTCAGGCTGTTGCTTTAAAGTTTTTCATGAAGCATATAGAGAATTGTAGGATCTGGTCTATTTTAATTTGATATTGACCGTAGTTGAATACATGTTTGGTTATTTGTGATTCTATCTTTCTATCTCTCTAGGTCTGATGTGGGTGAGGAACTTTTAAGGGAGGAGTATTATGATGTACGTCATGTCCATTTGGTTTGATGAGTCGGATATTCTTGTCTATGCGTTGGTGTCAACTCATATATATGATCATAAATTAACTACATTTCAGTTGTCTAAAGCTAATCTAAAATTATAAAAAATAAAAAAGTAACAATGGAGAAAGCCTTGGTTAACATAGAGAATTGCCTTATGTAACATAGTGCTCCCTTTTTGTGAGAATTGCCTTATATAACATAGGACCCACCCTCATCCTATATGTCTACCTCATGTTGTTTGTCATGTCTGGTCATATAAGCAGGGTTTTTCTATCATGGTTGCCTGTAACGCAGCTGAAACGACATTGATAGTAAATGGTTTGAAGTTGGTTATTGGGAATGATGGTGCACCTCTTTGTTTCAATGCTATTGAGTTATTGTGTTAAGTAGGCTGTTGAAAAAAATGGATTTGTCTCTTCTTTTTTCTCACTTGAGTTGTAAATTCTTCATTATATAATTTAGAATACCTTATTATATATTTTCTAGTCCGTTTGTATTGGTTTGTTAATTTAACCAAGTTTTGGCGTGCTTTGTTCTTGACATGCAGAACTGGGGTTGGGTTTGCGACAACATCATCAGTCAGTTGTTGAAGTTGTTGGAAGCATGTGTCAAAGAAACTCCTTTGTCTGCCATTTTTGTTCTTCTAGGTCAATTGGCAAGGTGAGTTTTGACTATTTTGTTGCCTCGGATTTACATAATTTAATGTGTTTCTACTGGATTTGCACGTACTTGCTTAAAAATCTTCGTATATCTTTTGCTATGCTGTAACATGTGTGGGTTACTGAATCCTCGAGGTAGAGAACTAAAGGGAGTTATTTGACTACTAGTTAAACATCCAAAATAACCCTCAAGAATGACGAAATAGTGTGGGTCATAATTTATGCTATCAATACTTTGTATACATAAAGTGAAGGTATAATTTTGGGTAGGAACTGAAAAGGGAATGTTGCATTCCTAAACACGGACCAGGCTGGACATGACGAGTGGAAAGTTTTAGGGTTTTAATTTGACATGGATGGTTTAGTAATTTACCAATCTTGTCAATCTTCCTGATTTTTGTTCTACCTATTTTGGTGGGACAGAAAAGACCCATTTTTGTCAGTCAGGTCATGTCCTTTACCGGTCTAGAATGGCGCCAAACGTGGGCCAGCAGGTTTTTGTACTGTTAGTCCTCTGTTAAATGACGCGCAGTTTGTATCTTTAACATACTTCTCACTTCCATTCGCTTCCGTATGGCCCAGTAATATTTTTTATATTTGCATTCTTTTAATCGGATGTTCCTATACTACAGACTTGGTATTGATGCTAACGGTTTCCAAGACGTCGAGGTTGAGAATATTAGAGTCAAATTGAGTTCATTCATATCTGGGAGTACTTCAAGCAAAATCGGTTTACCAGTCCAATTTGCTGCTGTAAATGCTTTACTGGATACAATGCCACTCAGTTTCCAAGAAGTTTGCAATATTAGCACGGAGCTGCAGACACTTGTAAGTCCCTCAACTCCGACAGATTGTATACAAAAGTGGTTTTCTTTGCTGAGTGATGAACAGAAATCGTCCATTAGACTGTTAACATCTGGTGTCGATTAGCTGCAGAAATGTACAGTCCACCGTTACTGCAACTACACTTGAGAGTCTTTTGTAGTTGAAACCAATCAATTTTGTAATGCTAGCAGTAAAGATCTAGCCGAGCATTTTGAAACTTAATCGATTTAATAGCAACCGTGATTTTTATTTGGGGTATGTTTTGCTTCTTTTCGTATGGTTGTTGGTTACTCATAACATTTTCAATGTTTCACGTATATGTTCTATGTCCATTTCCCACACTTCTCGTTAGAGGTCAGGTCTACGTACATTTTACCCCCGACCCCACCTCCGGGTGGGACATACAGGCCCTTTTGGTTTGGTTTAACAATCGCGATTTTGCTGTTGCTATTTGCCCTTTTCTGGTGCATACATGTTCAATACAAAAATTTAATTGTGCGAATTGTAGGGTTCGTTTTGATTCGTGAACTGACTTACGTGAATTACATCATTAATTGGAATTTTATTTATTTGTCTCACACATCATCGTATATTTAGTTTATACGTCTAGGATGCATGCTTGTTTTTTATATCCATACATGTTATGTAATCATCAGAGGAGAAAGCTGAAACAAAGCCATCACTTCTCGATTCATAAACTAGTATAGCGATTCCCGAATCATTGAACTGACAACTACCCTAGGGGATGCAAAAGTAAATGACGTTAATACCCTTTACCGTTCGAATGCCCATATGTGTGGGTGTTATTTTCTTCCTGTAGAGGTTTTATAAAGTGGGATACTTTGTTCATATCTGAAGAAGTTATCTGGATCTACTCTGCTCTTAACGTGTGCCAATCTCTTGAAATTGGCCTTGAAGTATTTCTCACCCCACACCCTAGCTTCCGAGTAGCTTGTGTTGCCCTCACGGTTCGTTCCGAGGTCCAGATCCCTATAGTTAAGGTACGCACTTCGCGGATGTCTTGAAACATGACGCTCCATATACCTGTATAGCAACCTGAGCCAATGTATATGCTCGTTTGATGCTCGAACACCGTTTGCTTCCCATTTGACCAAATACTGAACGTTGTACAAATTTCTTTTTCTGTGCGGGAATGGAAGATGTGATTCTGAAATCTCGCTCATCCTCCCACCAAACGGATCCATTATCATAAAAGCGAATTTTTGTTCCAGAAACCTTTCTCGTATCCCTTTGAACACATGTTTCCGTATAGGTTTCGTCACAAAATCGGATTTTGCCTTAAAGTAGCTAACGTAAGGGTCGGTGTCGTTGCCTAGTAACACTTTCGGGGATTTCCCTTGAAATCCTGCTAAGAAAAGAACCGACTCTATCCAACTCATTTCGATACAGTCGTTCGGTTTTAGACCTAACTCGGGGAATTTTTCATTCATCAACGGGATTAGCTCGTTGAGTTCTCCCAAGAAAAGCGAATTGAACAACACTTGAACGGACGTATTTTTGTCGTCCTGCAGATACTGAATGATTACTCTTATGAAGAGTTCGTTTTTCACCGTATGTGCCACATGTTGCCAACGATGAACGATTTCCGTGGTGTGTTGATCCATGGTCTTGTAAACGTTGAAAACCGTAACTTTTGGTGGAACCCTAAGGAGTTTGATTTTCCACGAGATGATGACGCCAAAACTTGCTCCTCCTCCACCTCTGATCGCCCAAAAAAGATCTTCGCCCATCGCTTCTCTATTGAGAAGATTTCCATTCGCATCAATCAAGTGAGCGTCGATGACGTTATCTGCCGCTAGGCCGTATTTTCTCACCATCGCACCGAACCCTCCACCACTGAAGTGCCCGCCAACACCGACACTCGGACATACCCCTGCCGGGAACCCATGAGTCCGACTCTTTTGCGCTATGCTATAGTAAAGCTCCCCGAGCGTCGCCCCTGATTGGACCCACGCTGTCTCGTCCTCAATGTCGATGCTAATCGAGCGAAGGTTCCTCATGTCGATAACCACAAAAGGTACTTTGCAAAGGTACGACAGTCCTTCATAATCATGGCCTCCGCTTCGAATCCTGACCTGCAACCCGTGCTCTCGGCTACAAATAATAGCCACCCGTATCTCATCTTCGTTTAATGGCGTAACAATAGCAATCGGTTCCTGAGACGCAGTCGAATTCGAGCACCTCGGGTTATGTTGAGACCAAACGAGGGATGAATACACCGGCAAATCCGGCGTGAACACGTACCTCGAGGTATCAGCAAATGAAACAAAGTAATCTTTCATACAAGAAACGAATCCATTATGGGTTGCAATTGCATCCGCATAAATCACGGATGCAATTGCAGCCCATAAAATATGAGTTGCTATTAAAAGGGGATGTTTCATTATGTTTTTGATGGCTTACTTTCTTCTTCAAAGTGATTGTTTATATGATGATAGACGATGAAGTTATGAACTTGGAATATTTGGAGGCAAATTCTTTGAGTTTGGTATTTTGTCATCGACCATAAAAGGAAAATGATAATTACAATGTAAAGAAAATGACAATTTAGTAATTAATTACTCAATACAAGATTTATTGTTTTGGTTACTTTTACATTAATTATAACATAAATTATTAATAATACTGGTCGGTGTAAAATTTACAAAAAATAACTATCTGGCAAATCGACTAATAACTATAAAAATGTTATAAATCAGTAAGAACCGGTTAATAATTATTTTTTCTGCATGATTTTTTTTTCATCAAATACTAAAATTTAAGATATTGTTACACATATATTATTTTCATAATGTGATAGTTTTACATGTATTTGTTTTAATTGATAAAAATGTTAAAATATAGCATAACGATCGAGCCTTTCTAACACGACAAAATATTCTATAAAATTTAGATTTTTTTTTGTTCAATCATAAATTGTACTAATTTTTTATTCTTAGATTTCAGTATTCTTACATCATGTTGCTTTATACAAATATATAACTAATTTATTATTTAAATATGTACATATGTTTTTCGACTCTATCAGTTAACCTCATTAACAATATAAATATATACGTTTGTCTTTTATACTTGTTTTATTTCTACAAAATCTTAGAAACTAAACAAATGTTTGATACTTATCGAAGTGGATCTCTCTTGATCGGCTATTTTTATTCCCTTTTATGTCCCATTTAACGTTTTTATATAAGTTAGCATCACGTTTCAACGAATACGTCCTCATCTTTGAAGGGGCAAAGGTATTACTGTAAATACATCAAATTTATATAATAAATTTTATCTGTATTATTAAAATACATAAATGTTAGCCGTAAGTTTGTCTATTTCACGTAAAGATAAATAAATAAGATTCATAGACTTCTTTTTAAAAGTAATGGAAATTTGGTTATAAAACGCTACGATCCTACATTTTTGTAGTTTTTATCAAGTAATGTTTTCTGTAACTGTGGGTACGAGTCGTTTTTTAGATGCCGATTTTAGTTTCTTGAAAATGCACCGTCGTTTATTTGGTTTACACCTTTTTTAGTAACGTAAATAGAAAACCAAAAACAAACCAATTAATACTTTGAGGATGAATTTAATAGCCTGTCATAATGAGAAATTTACATAGTATTTATAGTATCAAGTTCAACCACGGTTATGTTGTTCCTAACCAACATTCAAAGGTTGACGAACATGCTTTTCGGTCATTGCCTACATATTCGAAATGCACTTGTAATTCTAACTTCCTTTGAGACGTCATCAATTTACTTTTGTTTAATCTTTTGAGGCATCTCAACCGGTAAGATCTTGAGCGTTTATCTTGGTGATAACTAATTTGAGTCTTCTCAAACACTGAAAGTTTGTCTGACTGTTAAATTCAGGGTCTTATAAAATTAATCAAGATACAAGTAAACTGACTGGTTCATACAAATGAACACAAGCGGGATAAATGATAATAGGCGAAAAAACATCATACCTTATTTTTAATGATGAGTTGGTCTTGATCTTACACAAGTTATGAAAAGTAGGGGGAAATATATAAATAATTGAAGTTAGAGGGTCAAAGTGTAACTAATCAACCCTGATTGGGACATTGTTATGATGTGGGGGAAATTATTTAATTTCTAAAACTTTGGGGCAAAACTCTGAAGAATGAAACTTAAGTGAATGTGTAGAAATTAAGTATTGGTGTGAGGGTACCAACCAGACCCAATTAACTTGATAGTTAATATGTTTGTTTGATAGTATCGTACCAATTCTGAATTGTTGGTATAGTACTGGCGATAATATTTTAATACCACAGTGTTTTATTGTACCAAGTTTTGTTTACGAACTTGTTGCTAACTTTTTTACAGACATTGCAACGATGTTGTAAACATTACGAACATGTTATAAACTTGTATATCAATAGTAATGTCGATTCGCAAAACAGTTAAATGAATGTTTGTTTTAAAACCCTCATTTTAGACCTAAAAACAAGACATTGACTTGCTAATCATGCACAATCAGGGGCGGACCTACATCGATTGATACGGTGTCATAGGCGACCATTTCATTGTTCTGTCATAAGGGGAAAAAAGTGTGTTTTCTGAAAGGTGTTATCGTATTATTTTGTTGAATGTCACCATATAGTTTTTGAAACTAAAATTTAAGCACAAGCCTTTGATAGCGAAGATGGTTAATGTGTCTACCTTTGTACGAAAGGCCTAGGTTTGAATCTCATTTATGTCAATTTAAGCACAAGCTTGTCTAACGCCCACACTACGGGGCCATTTACCCAAATCCTTACGAGTCAACAATATAATTTATTTTATCGGATAAAATTGTAGTACATCAAAACGGTATCGTATACAACAATTTACCCGGGTAAGAGTCAAATACTCACTTAACAGTAAGAAAAATTATCTGATAAACACTTATCGAGTAAGCGTTTATTAAACGACCCATAACTAAATAGATTTATTAAGTTCTTGTTACCTGAATTAGACCAGAGAGTAACTTTGCGTAGCTTTGTTGACCATGATGGTGTTTTTGTTAATACTTACCGACTTTGGTGCTGGTAAATTGGGAATTTCGTACAGTTTTATGGCTTGTTTTTCGTTTTATATTCAAGAAACTAAAAATACTTTAATAAAATGCATAGGTGATTCATTTTTTATTATTATATTGTTTTTTAAATCGTAGTTATTATTTATTTGTTTTTTAAATCGTAGTTATTATTTATTAAAAAATATAAAAAGAAATATAGTATTTTTAATTTTGTTATAAGATAAATTAAAAATGAGTAAATTACACTACCGGCCCTTGTGGTTTATACCAATTTATGGATCTTATTCTTAAAGTAAAATTATTACATTAAACATATAATATGTAGTTTAGTTATTGTTTCGAGTTAGGTTCGTTGCCCTAATTCTATTAAATGAAGGGGTTTTTGGTCATTTTAACTATTAATAGAAAAATATCCTTTTAGAAGCACCAATAAAATGCTGTCATATTTCCTTTCCTTCCTTTCTCCGTTGCTTAGAAGATGTAACACATAGAGAGATTATAATGATAATGGGCTTGGCGGTGTGTTTATATATAATATAATATAATATATGATTTTATTTTTTCAATACAAAATAAGAAAAGGACATAATTGCCCTTGAGTTAACGATTAAGAGCTAACATAGTTAAGACAAAGGACCTAACTTGAAACAAAATGCAAGCCATGACATAATTTGGTATTTTGGTATAAAGCACAGGGACCAAGATTGTAATATCGTCAATTAAAATTATCCAATATCACGTCACATATATGATTATACGTTTGGAATAGTAATCTTGCAAAATTGATATCACGTACAATCCCTAATGCCCAAGGGCGGTTCGGTTGTGATTTTGGGGCTGGAGTGATCGCCACCGTATCGGAGTTTCGAGTTTCCATTTGCAGCAGTTCATCGTTTTTGCTCTTTAAGGCATTAACAGCTTCTAACGGGTCGAGATTGATAAGCGCAAATCTTTATATCTCTCTGTATATATACTTGTGGAATCGAATCGATAATGGTGGGACGGAAACTGTTCAAAACGAGGATATGCTTACTGTATAGGAAGGGTCATTGCCATCGTCAGACCTGCTCTTTTGCCCATGGCGATGCTGAGCTCCGTCGCTATAATTCTTCTTCTTCGTCCTCCTTTCATGGTATGCATACACTATGGTAGTTCAAATTTTGTTTTCTTTGTTTGCGTTTTAATTTATATTATAGAACTTGGATAGTAATGATTTGACAGTTTTTTTTTTATAATAGCTGCATCATTAGAACCAATTATGTTTCAGTCTTTCATATAGGATTAGCACACATGAATTGGTTGATTGCAAATGAAATTATGAGAATTCCATGCATATGGTTCAGAAAGGAAGCATCAGAATCCAAAAATTATAATTGTGAGTCACATACAACATAAAATGTTGCAAATGGCTATTAGGGACAGTTACAACATTGACTGCTACATTGGGTGTTTGTTTCTTTTGGACCACCAAAATTGAGTAGTACTGGTACGCCCCGCCTTCGGTCCCTTCCTCTACATTCTAGGTAGTACACCTTAAGTCCTCAATAAGTAGCATCAATATTTTTAGAAAAACGGATAAATTTGTTGAGTGCAACGCTACTGGCACAATAGAGGCTATTGCTACCATGTTCTGATTCATCAATCACTGGATTTAAAAAGTTCAATCATCTAATGGAGTAATGGCAAATGGGTTAAAGATATGCTCATGGAACTAGAAGTATCAAATTGTAAGCTTTTCCAGTTTTTATTTTTTATTTTCTTAAGCACATATAGTGACATTGGATAATATGTTCTAGAGCCAACACTTTTGTCCTTTTAAATTGCATATATATGACAGGCCTAATTGAAATATGGAATATAATGCAACTTCTTGTAGTCAGTCTTCTTCCTACTTAGAGAAAAGGACAAGTAGTTCTTTTAGTTCTAGCTGTATATACATCCGGCAAATTTTGCCCTTTCCAAGCGCAAGATTCTTCTTTCTCTTTATCTGTCCAGCTTCGATTAAACTCACTCACAGCTGTTAAGTTATGATTGGTAAGAATATATCATTGCCTGACCATTCTTTTGGCCTGGCTCCAGTTGATACATGCTCAGCGTGCCCAACTTTTGCTAAGGCCATTAGCGCACATGAACAGTTTGTTATAAACCAAATGAAATAGACCCAGTATACCCCACCCGAAGATAGAATCTGGGGATAAGATGTACGCAAACCTTACCTCTGTCCCACAAGACAGAGAGGCTCATGAATGATTTGCTATGTTTCCTATATGATTTGCTCCTTCTCGTAATATATAAACTAATTTGTTGGTATTGATGAAAGGGCCAGGAGCCAACTATGAAAGTCTGATGGGGAAGGATTGTTTAAGAATCATATGCAGATGATGAATTCAATTGGTCAAGTATTTGCTACAATAACTTGTTGAAGTTTATGCATAGATATTTTTCAAATATTTTTGAGTGGTTTTTGCATTAAATGACTGAACTATTTGCATTTGAAACTGTAATTCAATATCTGACCTACTCCAGTAGGACAATGCCTGCATTGTGGTTGTTTTCTGAGTGGCTTTTTGATCCTTGATACACTTTAGGACTTCTACAGCACTCTTTGGGCTCTTTAGGTTGCAGTTTCAGCCTGTCTTGAATTTTGCTTAAGTCAACAGGTTGCTGGCCATAATGCTTTGATGAATATATGTATGACAGCGAACTCCCAACTTATCTTTGGTTGACATCAAGTTTCGTGATGAGACACATAATTGTATCAGCAGTTGCATATCTCATTATCAATTATCAAGACATCCTCTGACTGGCCTAGTATGTTTTTATCAGAAGGAATTTTGCTGGTTGGTTTGTCTTATTGCTGCTTGTGGTATTGTTCTCGGGAACTTCGTCTTCGTTTGCGCTTAGGCGTCTATGAAACAAGCCATATTTTTTGAAGAGTCAGAACTATGACTTCATGGACATAATATCATCCATAACTTAGACGTCACCAGATGGGTTTTTCATGCATTCAAACACTTTTCTTGTAAGTTCTCGCTTGCGTGCTGGTGGAGCCTGTGCTACTTTCTCACTTTGGCTCCATGAAACATGATACTGCCAAGGAATCTATTGAATGGAAGATCTTTCCAGAACAAGCAAACATATAGCATGTGAGATGGACTAATATATTTATTCTATGACATCAAGGAGAATATCAGACTATATATTGTTCATACTTGTTCAAGAAGAGAAATATCTACTATCTTCTTATCCGTTGCATCCACGATATGCAAAAGTTTTCTCAATGTTATACCTCAAATATGGATGCATCTACTTCTTTCCATTTATATGAGAGCTTTAGTTTCCATGGACTGTGGCCCCTTTGGAACTCGAAAGAAGGCACCATAACTTTTCATTATTGTCTTATGATGTTGTTCCATATTACGGTAAGGTGTATCTTTGTTGTTGATTATGGGCCTTGTGGTTATCTTAAATTTGAAATAAGAGGATGCTGGTGTTCAACCTACTGGAAACATTCTTTTCATGTTTTGCAGGGAGGCGGGAATATCGTGGTGCTGATTTAAGAGATAAGCTAGGCAGACAGCGTTCCCCTCCTTGGAGAAACTCTCTTGATAGAGATGCAAGAGATCAACTCCCATCTCATGGTCAGAACCTTATCCTTGCATTGAACTTCTTCTGTATTCTACCTTAGATAGGTTAAAGTAGACTAGAGCAAACTCTGCTAGCCTGCTATCATTGCATGACATTCATTATATCCGTGCTTGATGTTTTATTATGTCTTGTTTTTTCATGTTTCTCGAGAGTTGTTACAAGCTCATTCCAATAAGCATTTGAGGATATCCATCAAATTTATACGCCTTTTCCCCATCTCTTCTTTTCTTATCTTGTTTGGACAATTTCTTTATTTGTGAAACTTTTTTCTGTTATATTGCAGGACATAATTCTCCAAGATTGGGGAGAAAGAGGTGCGTTTCTAAAGTCACTAACTTTTTTTAAGTATATAAATATATAATAATTATATACGCAAGTTAAACATACATACTTTTCTGAAGTTACTAACTTACCATCCCTTGGGTTTGCCCTTATTCTTTTTTCTATTTTGTGCATTTAGTTGATAGATTAAGAAAATATGGTTTGGTGGTGGTCTTGTATGAGGATAGTTACTTTATGGTTTTGTGAGTGATCCTGGTTTTAGATATTAATTTGACGATTCATATAGGTCTCTCTCGATTGAGACCCAGGAGAACTGGTTTCAACTATTAGTCTATTACAATAGAAAACTTATACAATTTAGGTGGATTCGTCACATAAAGCAAGGCTTCTTTTGTTTGATCCACGACTTTTGCACCATCTGACTTTACCTCAGAGGTTCTATCTGGAAGCAAGGCTTATAACATGCAGTTGATATTAGTAGGCATTTGGATCTTTATTTCCTTACAAATAATTCAGGAACTATAACATTGCATGGCTTCTACGATAAAGAATGAGGTCCATGTTAAAAGACCCTTGTCCCTAAGAGTATCATTTTATGACTTCTTTTTTGCTTTGTTGCATTTTAAAGGATTAATGATGATTTTTTTTTGGTAAAACTGGTAAGAGTGAGTGAGTGACTACTACGCAAATGACACCCTTGATATACATGTCACTGCGATTTGATGATTCACGTATGAGAAATTTGATGGTTTATGAAGATGCCTTACCTTTGGTTTGGTGTTTAGTGGTCGGTAAGATGTCATGGAGACGTCAAAGACCTTCCAGCCTAGTGGTAAAGGCTTGGGCATGGCATAGTCATGAACCCGAGTTCGAGCCCTGGGAGGGGAGTGTTGGCGACATTTAAGTGGGGCCATGTTTAGCCTTCAAAATTGCCGGGGATTAGTCGGGCTTTGGCCCGGACACCCTTACAAAAAAAAAAGATTTCATGGAGACTTCTTCCCTGAGAAGCAGGGATGTGGCTCCTACCCATCAAACTCCCGAATTAGGTGCTTTCATGTGTGGAGTTCTTTAGGGTCTGGTGAGATGTGGATTTGACCGTCTCCAAAGTATTGACCATTAATACAGTGGGTACGCAATGGAGGATATGGGAGTGATAAAGATATGGAAAGAGATGAGCATACACAAATCTTAAATCTACATCAGAAAAAGGGAAAGAAACAAAATTTTGCAAATTATCAACTTAGAAATTAGGTACAAATTTTTGTTTGCCTGAAAGAGAGAGAAAGGGTGTTAGGCCACAGTGAGGTCATGTTAATGATTCTGTTGGGTATAATGATGAGTATGATTTTGTGAAAAGTAAAATTTTGTTATTTTATTTTGTAATTTTTTACTTATCATCCCAGATGTAGTATGAATTATGAAGATAAACTTCCTTGTTTCCATTGCTTTTTGTTGTAGACTGTTCTATACACACAGGTACCACTGACATTGCCACAAGTTTTTAAACCGTCAAATAGCAGTTTCCACATATCACACACCCATAACCTTGTAAAATAGCTTCTGATTCAGCGACATGCACTCTTATATTTAGATGATCTCATAATTCTTTTTCACTTTGGAGTTGAGAAAGGGATTTGCTTGTTTTTCCTGAAGTTGAGTATCTGAAAAGACTACTATCTTGCTTGGTTTATTTTCGGCCATCTCTTTGTCATGCATTTCTGTATTCCATACTTGTATTCCAGTGATTGGGATCACAGAAAGAGGCAGGACTTTGACGGTGAAAATGATTTCTCTGGAAACTTGAGGTTATCAGATGGGGCTGAACGACAAACCAGAGAAAGAAAACCCTCATTCACAGAATTTAAGGAGGTTCATGATGAGCAGGTTTAATTTCCTCTTAAATTACTAAATAACGATTTGTTTTGGTCGATTAGAAAGGTCGTGCTCTGAGTGCTTACTTTTTGTGTTTCCTTTTAAACCCATGGTGCAGTTGATGCAAGTGCAATCTGAAATTGATATGCTTGAAGATCACAAGCAACAACTGCAGGTGAGTTCTGCCTTTTGTGTTTCCAGTGGCTAACAATTATAGTTATGGTTTCCAATACTCTTAGGGTAGGGGCGAGCAAGAGGATCAAAAACAGGTGACATCATGAGCTTTCACATTTGGAGATGGTTGCTAGTGTCTTTTTCGAATCCGTTTATTTCTTGAAACTTCATCTATGTTTGAATTCGGCAGTTGTTCTTTGTTCTTGTATAGCTGATGAGCATCTGGTGCTTCATTGTTGCATGTTTATGGCAATGACCACTGTAACTTCATAAGCGTTTGCCATAAACATGGTTATGATTACATCTAATCGTCTAAAGTTGTTCATAATCCAACTTAAATCAAGTAAGCTTTTGTGCAGACTACGACTACTGAATATTTAATTACATATAAGTCTGTTACTTATCAACTAAAACAATGCTGTAAAGGTAAATGACAGGAGGTGATTTGTTTGTTCAAACACTATTACATGAGTCATTATAGGTAATCATTTCATTCCAGAGCACGCCCCTACATTGATGTAGTAGGGATGGCTGGAACTTGGAATGTCATTCCTTCTCTTAGATGCATTCAGACTGTCTTGCACTAGAATTAGATAAATGTCACTTCATTTCAAATCATGTTTGTTATACAGACGAATGTTAGTTTTCTTGGGGATGTGGACAATTATTGTTTATTTATCTTTTGTAAATTATTTATGTAATGGACATGCATTCAGACAGAGGTCACATGATTTCAAGTTGTCTTTGTTATGCAGACAAAATGTTACCTTTTTTGGGCCAGTGGACTATTGTTATTTATTTATTATTGCAATTTTTTCTCAAGTCTTATTGTGTATCCTCTAATCAATGTAATAATGCACAGATCTATTTGGAAGAAAGGTTCCAAGAAGCAGATAGTCTAAATTCTAAAATTGAAGAGCTTGAGATGCAATTGACCGTGGAGAAAGAGGAATACAAAAGGTGTCTGATTGATCATAGCAAATCTTTAATCTTCTTTCTACTTTCAACATTTTTAGTTACACGGTCTTTCTGTTCCTTATAATTTTTACTTGTTATATGTCAGAATTTCTTCCAAAATCAGGAAGTTCATCAAGGCAAATAATCGTCACATAAGGATACAAGATGAACTGAAGAGGCAACGATCTGTTTCTATATTGTCAACTGTGTGCTTTTGGCTTCTCCGATGCAGATTTTTTTGATGAAATGCAGATTTTGTTTTCCACATTCTTTCGGGGTTATTCCATTTTCTCGTATTTCCTTTCCCCCCTTAACTGTTATAACAGATATTACAATATGTAGGTCGCAAGCTCGTCTTCAAAAGCTTGGGGATCAGCTTGGTTCTGATGCCAGAGCTGCTGCGAATGAAGAGGATATCAGCATTAATATATTAAGTGACGAAGATACTCTGGGCAATATGATCCCCAAAAACGATAAGGTTTCACCAAGGAAGGATGAGATGTTGGGCAATCATTTAATGGGCCCACAGAAGGATCAATATAAGTCTTCTCCAAGCAAGAAAAGGATGAGGTTTCATATGGTAGAAGCTGATGAAAAATCAAAACAAGGTATCTCTTATATCGCGTTGCTGAAGCACAAACGTTTGTTAACTCTTCCATTTGAAAAAGAAAGAGAAAATGGTGAAAAGGTCTAGGGTACTCGTTAAGAAGGAACAAAAAGATTCTAGCTTTTGTCTAATTGTCTTGTTTATTTATTTGTTAATGTAACCATTTTCCTTGTACTTGAGTAACACCATATTTCTCTCCACGTTGGTTATTTTCTAAAAATGGTGAAAGGTTCTGACATGAACTACCTTTTCCTGCTTGGAGATCACACCATATGCCCTACCTCTGGACATGTGGCATTCCTAGTCTACCTGTTTTTTCTGTACATGGAGGTTGCTGTTCTGAGCACTTATTAATGAATTTTTAAACATTTTTTGCTTGTGAGAAGAAAAAATTATGGAAACTTCATGGTAGTAAATTATATTAATCCAAGATAAGATGTCATTTTAGCATTCTAAAAAGTTCTCCTGTATACACTGCTGAAGTTTCAGGCATCCACGTCGATGCCAAACTTCGGTTTTTGTGCTGTTGACCACTGCCAACTTTACAACTTCACTACAGAATACAGATGCAGTTGCCTTAGACTGCATTTGGGCCTTCAATATTGGAAGAACAATGTAGATACCTAGGCCTCTAGTTCTCTCTAGTTGCACGAATGCACGAGTTTCATTTCCCAGCTGAAATATACATCAAATTGTCCTGCCTTGGGTGGTATCTCGTTTCAATCGTTATATTTTACAAGCTTGTTTTTCGGTATCTCTTGTCATCTCCTTACTCAAGCTACCATGCTTTTTTACTTGACTATCTCTAATAGTTCTATTAGATGGTTAAGGATTTGATGATAGAGATTCTTTAAAGCAAGGGTCCTAATTTCTGTTATAGAAGTATGAAAGCGCTATTTTGTAAGGTTTGTTGCATCATTGTTATCTTCCAAAAATTCTTTATTGATATTTCTTTGGTGCACCAGCAAGTTCAACAAGAGAACGGCTAGGTATGGGAAATATGAAATCTGAGAGGCATCCTAGATGGGATGCATATCTTGATCAAACAAAAAACACTGATGAAGCAAGGTCAGAGGCTAATGGAATCAGCAATGCTAGACCTTCGGTTAACGATGGCAAGCCTTTGCGAAGAAAGAGCAATTTCACCAGCGCCCCCTCAGGAGATAAGGTGCCTTTTTGTAATCATACCAGCTTCTTTATTATATCTAATTTACACACTATTCCTCCATTATAACTCCAAAGCATTTTTCAGTGTATAATGTTCAACAGAATGAAAAATAAAATTACCAATTAAGCATTGAAGTTTACATGGTGGCTGATGCCCATACTTCCATCAACCTATTTGTTGATGTCAGCAAAAAACCTACATGACCCCATCTTATCAAAACAATAATGTCAAAATCCTAGCACTGTGGTTTCTAGACCATGATATTTATATCATCAGCATAAGGGTTTGGAGAGGAGGAAAGGTTCCTGTATCTAAATTATGTTGTACAACCTTTGAGCTTGTAGTTGACTTTTCATACAATCTCCAATATGGGTAGAATTTACAAGTGCAATGAGGCACCAAACCACATCTTTCTACAAAGATGATGCTAGTTCTATTTTAAAGGACAAACTTAAATGATTTTTAACTGCTACGGGTTGCTCTACATAAAGGCCTTCTAGATACGATAAATATGTTTTTGAGACCTGAAGACGAAAGGGTCAAACCTGTAAAAGAAATTGTTAGCATTTTGAAAGAACCTAGTTACTCATTTGGAACTCGCTGGTAAAGAAACAATATATTCTGTTTCAATGCATATGATAAATTTACAGTCCAAATTTATGTGGTTTAGCACTACAATAACATAATTATAGAACATCAATTTCTTTTAGTTGCTGCATGCATCTGATATTAAGCTGGTGTGGTTGTTTTTAGAAATTCATAGTAAAAGGCATGAAATATTCCCTTTTTACACTGAAAACACTTCCCACATGTGCCACATCTTTAAGCTACAAGTAGACGGGTCCTTGATGCATAGATACCAGGCCTGGCGCTTCCAAAAAGTCAGGGATAGAAGGATGCTTCTGTAATTCTGTGTATAGAGTAAGTCTGAAATCAAACAACTAAAAGAAACAAATTATTTTCATAGTTCTTACATTAAATATTTAAAGATCAAAAGTGAACTCTAGTTCTGGGATAGAGATAATCTGTAATTTAGAAAATAAAAAGTTACAAACGACTTTGACTGGACTAATATATGTCATATAAAGCAAATCACATAAAAAATAATATTATATAAAATAAACACATTTAACTGTAGCCTTATTTTTTATTTTACTGTTACCTAATATGCCCGTATATCCATTATAGTCTAGGCCATCGATGAAAATAGCTGTATAGTCTGACTCACCTTGCCTCTCAAGCATAAAACTCAGGTTTTACTGTAAATTTTTTGCCTCGATCTAAGTTTGTTGTTGTGCATCTTTCATCTCCATTTAAAAAAACACAGAAATCAACCTCCTGTCTCAACAATATTCATAGTCAACAGTCCAAATATATGGTGAAATCTGCATCCCTTGCATGACACCAGGAAAAACTTATCGTCTTTCTGGTGAAACCTGTGTGGATATGTTAATGTTGACAACGTAGCCAAGATGATTTACATTTGAAGACCGAGTTTTGTAATGACAAATTCGTTTTAGAAATAAGGAAAATAGCTGTTAGACGTATTTTTTACACTAAAGCACTATAAATGAGCAGATTAAGGATCATGAGTCGACTAGAACGGCGGTAAATATTGTGGATGATGTTGTTGAAGTGGTTGAATTGAATGAAAAGCTTGAGGCGGAAGAAGTCGCCTCTGATAGAGTTGAGGGAGGTTCTACACTTGACAATGCAGCCTTGCCATTTCTGTTGCCACCTCCACCACCTCCTGCAGTCGTACAGAATGCTTACTTACAGGTTAGGCTTGCGTCTCTATCGGTTATTTTGATACAATATCTTCCATCAATTTTGGTTTAAAATTGTGTGCCATAAGATATTTTAATTGATATTCTTACTATTTTCTATTCGTTCTTCGAGAAATGCAACAACCAACTTCATTTTTTCTTGAAGTTAAATACGTGTAGGTCAATGTTAAATATTAAAAGTAGTTTGTCTGAGATTCAAGGTCAACTAAGACATCTGATAAGAGAGTGAATGGAGTATAAAGTAATACTTCCTCTATCCAATGAAAATTGCAACAATAAACAATTGTCCGATTACTAGAGGAGAGGGACCCTCAACTGGAAAATAAAGGCTAGGGATTAGTTGAGGTGCACGCAAACTAACCCGGATACACATGGTTACCAAAAAAAGAGGAGAGGGACCCTGAAGGTTGGGATGGATGCATGATATAATATGTTCATGTATCTAAAGTTATTGGGTTACTGCAGCCTGATTATTTACTCCCTCTCTTGAAACAGAATCGCAACGTTTGTTTATGCAAGTACCACTATTAATCAAATGTGCATCAGCACCACTCAATAATGAGGAAATATGATAATGTGGTAGAGCGAAAGCAATAGTATTGGTAAGTTGTAATGACGATAATGAGCAAATCGATAAATTTAACATGAAATTTTTCCAAGAACTGGAAAATCGGAAGACTTACAAAAAATTGATGCAATTTTCGTTGGAAAAAAGTACGTAGGCTTGTGAAAATTGCAACAAGTTCCATTTCATAAATGTCCATTAAAATGGTGAATTTTCTCATTCCAACAAGTTAATACTACTTATTTGCCCACATCATTAGGAAATGTTAAAACACGCACACACACACACGTGTATATATATTATCAAGATCCCCCTGGTTTGCCATTATTAAAGTCTGTTGTTAACAATTGAAAATTCTGAACTACATGTAAAATTTATGCTCCCTCTGCATGACTCATGAATTAAGATGCCTTGTGACAAGTACATTTTCTATATTTTTGCAAATTTCTGTGGCAATCATTTACTTGCAATGATCATCCTTGCTATTTGATGTTATTGATTTTAGTTCACATAATTTTTATATTTGTCCAATTATTGGAGGGTATTTATGAGGCAAGCAGGGGTTCTTTACAGAAATAGACTCTCAACCCTTTTGGGTAAAAACAAGGTCTGCATACATCTTAACCTTAGATCCTACCACTGTGTGAGATATACTGGGATCTTTGGTTTGTAGGGACCTTGTGATGACGATTTGTATTATATGTTAATATTTAACATGATGCATGCCATATCATTCATATGACATGTGAGATATGCAAAATGACTGATCATTGACCTTGCATTTTGGTTGCAGTACAAGGGGAAAGATGAGAATGTGGATGTGGTTGATGATGATGGTGATGATCTTGATGATGAAATGGTGGATGTGGATATTGGTTGACTGCCTCTTCCCCCTTGTTTCATTGCAGCTTCTCTAAGAACTTGCGACTCTCGTTATGTTCATGTTGAAGTTTCGTAAAAGAATTCGAAAGTTTTTTGAACTTTTAGGCCTTGGATCACAGGGTCTCGTGATGACACAAGGTCCATGCACGACAAGGCACTCACGTTTTTGTACATCGATGTTTTTGTTCGTCAAATCTAAAATTGACAAATGCATTTAGTATGCAATCATTAAAATGGTGTTCTAGAACTTGAGTTTTGAGCGATCGGTGTATTTTGTGCCGTGGAACATGGACCTTGGGTGTATTTTATCAGGCCGTGTGTTTCCTTGGAAACCTCTTCGTCTCTTGAGATAGAGGAAATATATGCATACGTCTTACGGGCACCCATATCCTCAATCGCACCCCACATTTGGTTGGGATATATTGGGTTGGTTTGATTGTTTTATATTCTCCTTCGATGAAAAAGGCAATACGGTTTTAGAGATTGTAGTTGTTTATATATTTTTAATTAACTAAATGACGATTTTACCTTTAAGTAATGAATTTTTTTTCATCTTAAGAGTAAAATTGGGAAGTAAAGACTTACATTTGAAAGTTGGACAATTATCTCAAGTCAGAAATATACAGATTTATTTTGGAACGGACGGAGTTTTATCTGTTAAGAGCATGTTCCTCAAAATAGAGAATCTGGACAATTTTTTTTTTTTTTTTTTTTTTTTTTTTGGCGAAAACAGCAGAGATTGTGAAATTTAAAGTTAAAGAATAAAGGACTATTATGCCTTGTTTGTTTTTCATTAAAAAACTCTTATTGGTTCCTTATTTCTGAATCGTTAAGAGGTAAAGTTATTTAGACTGTTTGTTTTTCCAATTTTTTAGAGACACTTATGTCTTATTTTCTTCGTTATTTGATAAGAGGTAAACTTACCTCTTATTTGCCTCTTATTGTTCTTCAAATCCTCAACGACGGCATTTGTCAATCGATTAACTTTATTCGATCATTACTCTTAATCGATCCTTACCAAATCAATCCTTAGCTCTCTTAATTAATGTATTTTAATAGTATGTAAATATGTTAAACACCGTTAATGACATATTTTCGTTTAAATGAATGTTAATTATATAATTTAGATGAACATTTCGTAATGATGATGAATAAATATGTGAAATTGTATAAATTTATTAATAAATTCAACACTATAATTTTTAATGGGTAAAATAGACAATTTAAATAAATTCGAACTTTTTATCAGTTTGCAAAAACAAAGTCTTATTGATTTAGATTTCAAACTTCAAACATCACCTCTTATAAATCAGAAGTGAAATAAGAGTATAAGACTTAACTTCAGTACCTTTTAAAAAAACTAACTTCACCTTCGTTTCTATGTAAACTTCACAAGTGTAATTCATAACATATGATCGTTATACTAGATTTTACCTTGTCATATATTATTTTAAAAAATATCCTAACGGAGAAAACTATATTTTTTTACCCCAAAATTTCTTCTATTACAAATTTTGTACCCAAGAATTTATCAATTTCAACCTTCAGATAATCTATATTGTATTATAAATAATTTGATAAAAACTCTTAAAAATCATTTTTTATGCATGAAGATTTACAAGTAAATTGTACGTAAATACAGCGTATCAAAGCTCTATATTTGAATTCGTGTAACTAACTGCAAATAAACACAAGTAAATAGAGAATAAACATCACATTTTAAATATAAAAAATCTAAAATATAATTAGGATAATTATTGAGTTTTAATAAAAATACTTAATTATCATCTTTATAAAAAATTATATTATTAAACCAAAATAACTTCGTTATTAAATCCAAATTAAATTATAATAAGAAAATGAAGCAAAGAAATTACAAAAAAAAAAATTAAATAATTAGTTGCATACTAATATCAATATATTTTTTTCAAAATTTTATAACATCTTCATATTTATATTTTATTTAAAAATAAAAACATTATCGTTTTTTTTTTTCAAAACCACATAAAACCGTATTATAATATCGACAGAGATAAAAAAAATCAAAATCGAAATATATTTCGCTGCATTGCACGAGTACCCTTCTAGTATGACAAAACACATAATTTCCAAAATTCAAACTATTCAAAGCATACACCACCGTATAAACAAGAGCAAAAACAAAAGTCACAATGCTCCACATTCCAGAAAATCGAATGTCCCACTGAATTATCTCAGCGGTGGCATTTCCAGAAGGTCGCAGGTTCAAATGTCCCCTTGCTCATAATGGCCGTGGGACTGGGACACAAACCCTTTTTTCAACGTAAGTATCTGAAGGTTCTTTGAAACATCCAACAAACTCCACCATCAAGTAATTATACTGTTTCTTTCTCTTGTCTAATACAAACTGACAGACACTAAAGAGTGAAGAACCAGTTCTTTTTGAGTTGCAGAACCATACTTATTGCACAAGCATCAAGCATGTAACGTAAAGAAAACACAAACCCACATAATGGACCTTCGGATTACAAGCCTTGGCTTGTTCCCAAAAGTCAAACGCCGAAAAACTGTTCTAGTGATGAAGAGGTGAAAACGTTAGACGCGATTCTTTCGGGTTCTGTTTTGATGTGAAGCTGGTGTTTGATGAACCTCTGATCAAAGAAGACCAAACGCAGGCAGCAGCGTTAGTTAGGAAGATATACTCTTTCCATACCCTAACAAGTAATAACTACTCCATCTGTCTCAAAATAAATATCCACAATAAAATCTAAGGTATGCCGGGGAAACCGACTCGGATAAGACGAGTGAGTGAACAAAAAGTTCATTTTTAATGTCCTACCAAAATAACTTGACAAGTGGAACAAAAATTAAGGGAGATAAGACCAGTGATAAATTAATGAACTATCCAATCCATGTCACATTAATACCCTAAAACCTTCTGGAGTTCTTTCACCTGCCAACCTCACTCTTGTCTGTCCAATCTTGTTCGGTCATGTCCAATCTCGTCCACATACCAAACGCACCCAAAAAAACACAGTTTTAGAAATGTAAAATTATTTTACTTTTTAAATAACTGAATGACAACTTTGTCCTTAATGATATAGGCAAACCTTCACCCCCCCTTCTCTATCTCATCAACTCTTGAATATTTGTTTCATACTTAAAGATAGAGTTGGAAATATAACAAATTATAACTATTTATTGTTGAAAATGCACACTTATCTCGAGACAAACATAATAAATATGTGGACACTTACTTTGGGACGGAGGGAGTACAATATTTCCCTCTTTTGGAAATTTTTGAGCTGAAATTGCACATTTGTCCACTTTGAATGATTAATGAGACTTAAGTTGGGTGCACATTATTATCCTATTTTCTTGTTAACGAAAGGTATTTTAGGTATTTGACCAATAAGACGACACTAGATCAAGATATAACCCTTTTGGTTGTCTATCTCAAAACTCTTGGACCATATAGATATTGAAATATGGACCGTCTAACGTGTTGGAATAAGTAATCACATGCACACTAATAGTTACGAAAAATAAAAACGTATTTTTTACATGCCTCTTAACAATTTGCCTACATTCACAGTTGCTAGTAGTAGGATTGAAAATCAACCCATTATATCCCAATAGAAAGTAGGATCAGTAGAAAAGTTTTTCCTGAAATGCCAAAATGTTTTAATCTGACAATTTCAGATAGCTTGCCAAAAAGTCCGAATTTTTTTGGGAAGAACGCGAAGAGCTTGAAACCAAAAGTTCAAAAAAAAAAATCAGAAAGCTTACCGACATAATCCTCGTTGGTTTTGAAGTTAAATGACTCATTTGCGCCTCAAAAGTCAAATTTAGTCTTGTCTGATATATCCTATATCAAACTGTTGATAGCCTAATTTGACTTTAGAGGATAAGTTAAACTTGGTAACCAGCTGCTAATCATAAGAGATGTGTACATACCGCCAACTGAGAAGTAATTTCTGGATTCGAATCTATATGCCAATCTGGCTCCAGCTGCCGAACAAAGGACATCCGTCCTTTCTCTGTGCTACAAAATAGTACCTGCAATTGCATATGATGATATAAACTATAAACAGATAAATAATAGATACCTAAAGAAGCTAAAATCAACATTTTAAAGAAAATTTCATGAATTTGTAACGGAACAATCAAGCGTTCAAGGGGAGTAAACATGTTCCATAAGGACTGGACGGAAGAGTGATGTAGGTGGGTGAAAGAATTTGGGCAAAGTTTTAATTTTTAATTTGAGATGGGTACTTTAGCAATTTACCAATCTTGTTCATCTCCCTAATTTATGTTTCACCTATTTTGTCCCACTCGGTCATGTTCTGTCCTGGCATAATGTCACACCAAATGTGGGACAAGTTTTTGTTATGTCGTGTCCCGCTACCAAGCAAATACGGATATCATTGTGAAAAACAATTTTAACAACCAAATGAACCAATCTTACGCAAAGTAGAGTCTGGGGAGGGTATGATGTACCCCTATTCCGAGTAGAGGTTTTGAGAAAATTTTAACAAGTAATTGTAACGTTATTACCTTGTCTTTAACCAGGTCACCAGAAGTAAAAACTCCAGCATTTTCCAATGCCGTTAAAACCTTCTTCTGCAAACATATAATGAAAAAAGAGTCATACGTGTTGGCATATAGAAATTCTCTCGAGCGGGATATGACAAAAGACAACTTTTGAATCCATCAGAGCATCTCCAACCGTTTCTCCACAATTTCTCCAAAATAGAGAGTGAAAACTCGAAATCTCCAAAAAAATTGACATTCAACTCCAACAGTTTATCCATTTCGCAGAATCTAGCATAAATATATTACTATAATATTCAATGCATTTAATACCCCCAAAAAAAACTTTCTGTAAAATTGTATATTTGTGAAATTTTCTTCTCTTTCATCTTTTCTCCATTTTGGAGATTCCATTGGAACAAGAAAAGCTCCAAAATCCGCATTTTCTCTATTTTGGAGATTTTGTTGGAGATGCACTCATAACATCTATCATATGGTAAAATCTGCTTACGCCACAAGTTTATTTAGGGAGTGCAATAATTAGATAAGATCCAAAAAGGAAAATTGTGATGAACGAAAAATAATTTTTGATAAAACACATAAAAATGGGGAAAAAGGCAAGTATGAGCTCATACATACTTCACTTTCATCATCCAGAACACTTTCCATGAGATAAAGGTCAGAATATTTTGTGATCTCCAACAGAACTTCCAAGACAGAGGATCTCACTGTTGCTTGATTCTGCTACACAGTATCAATCAAATTCAGAATTGAGCCAGTCATCTTGAGATTTCAATATGTATAGAAGACATCCACAAGTATCACAATCTCACCAGCGGCACCCAGTAGATCCCAACCTCCATGGAGGTCAAGGGTTCAAGTCTCACCAAAGGTGAGGAGTGTGTGTGAGATTTGGTGTACATAAATATTATATACTAAAAAAAAGTATAACCACCTGAAGCTCCTCGGGAGTGTTTTCCTCCAGTATAACCCCAAGCAAACGGCAAGTTACCTTCAACAATATCATGAAAACTGTTATGTGGTTGAGGTAATCATAAAGGACTAGAGGGTATTATGCATTTATTATTATTTTCATGGCTACTAGAACAATTACACTAAACAGACCCAATAAACCGCATGCAGAGGTAGGATCAGGAGAAGGGGGGGGGGGTAGAACATACGCAGACCATGCCTCTACCCCAAGGGGTAGAGAGGTTGTTTCAGTGAAGATCACCAGCTTGCAAAACAAAAATTGAAAGGAAACAAGTGATCAAGCTAAAGGTGAAAGTGTGTGCCAACAAGCAACAGCTTCTAGAACAATTGTTTTCAGGGAAGTTCTACTTAAACCTTCTGAATGTCTAACAAATTTTACTTAAGTGGTTGAAGTGTTTATGATAACCTAGAGGTTTGACCTTGAATGACACTTGTAGGAAAACATGGGGCCTTTTCTAGAATACTCCTTCTGCCCCAAAAGTGTGGTGTTTAAGACTTGATATATGGTTCGATAAAGAGATTTGGTTTTTTGAATATCGATTAAATGTCTAAAATGCCCCTTAAGGACAAAATGAAGAGAACTTGTTGACTAAAACTAAAGTTACTGATTTCAAGTACAGATTACTAGAAGGCAGAAATGTATTTTAGGATTAAAATTACCAAAAAAGGAATCTTGCATTCATTTGGAACAACCCAAATAAAAAGTTCAACATTTTTTCGGGATGGAGGGAGTATTTACTTAAGTTCATTTAAAAAGTAAATTATAATACTCCCTCCCATCAATGTGCAGCACTTTCCCTTTTGGAATAACCTATCGAATTGCAACATTTCAATTTTGGGGAACTTTCATGTTAAAGTTAACATATATGCCCTTTAAGTTGATTTGGATCCACAAGATTCTTTATTCGTCGATATTGAATAGAATTTTAGATATTTGACATATATCAAACAATTTTCTTAGACTATATGCATATGATTAGATCAAATGATGTTATAGCCATACCTTCCTTCCATCACCTAATTTCTGCCTGACTATTTGTCCTAAAGTAGGCTGCAGCAAGAAAAAAAGCAATCTATAAGTAAATCCAATTTACATGAAGACGAATGAAAAAAACTTTCAAACAGATTTCGTCAAATTTTCAATTTACATTTGCAGGCTGAAAGAACTCATCAATAGCACTTTGTGCTCTTGAATCCTTGGAAGATGAACCAACACCAGAAGGTAACACATTTTCATTTGGATGAGTATTGAATCCAGAAGTGCTAGGTGCGGGAGCTGGACGTTTAGGCTGTTTGCTTCGAGATCCATTAGACGTTCTCAACACTCTCCATGTATAAATTACTGCAACAGCAAGCCCCGCTATAGCCCAAAAAGATCGTAAATCCTGAAGACGGATTTTAATATATGAAAATATTGCTTTAAATAATTACAAGTCCATTTTGGATTCTGATTACAAACTGTCACGAAGAGAGAACTGTATTTTGTATTTCTCATAATTTACAAGTGCCAATAATGGGCTATTTGTACAAGGTGTTTGCAATTTAACCAAACTTTAGGAAACAAAATATTAGCCCGATTTCTAGTGTTGATCGATCACTATATCAAGGAAATCAAGATGAAAATATTGTATTTCTTCACGCATTCGTACACACATGGGAGGAAGAGTGAGATAGAGAAGCGTGGCATGATTATTCTCATAAAAGCATTGACCTAAAAATACTATGCAGCTTATTAGTTTGACGCATTTTACTCATTTTAAAGGGTAGTTTTACGATAGAAATGAACAAGAAAAGATTTCATTCATATTGGCTGGACCAACAAACAAATTCAGACCTTCATGGGTGAATCAAGCTCAACAAAATTTTATCACTCCCTCCGTCCCAAGATAGGTGTATATATTTCTATTTAAGCTTGTCCCCAAATAAGTGTCCACCGTCAAAAATAAATAGTTATAATTTACTAAATTTCCAACTATACTCTTAATTTTGATGCACGAATATTTCAGAGTTCATGATATGGAGAGAGGGGGAGGGAGAAAGAAGATTTGTCTCATTAAGGGTAAAATTGTCATTCGGTCAATTAAAAAGTGTAATACTTAAACATTTAATTGTACGTTTTTTCTTTATCATGGACATTTATTTTGAGATAGAGGGAATAGCATTTTATAGCATTCATCCGGTAACCAAAACCTTCTAGAGGTCAAGGATTTCAACCTCACTAAAGGCGAGGCGTGTGTATGAGTTTCATTTGCCGTATATAAATATTATCTACTTCATAAACAAAGTACAGATTGGCATCCATGGGATTGCTTTGAGTGTGGATTATATAGGTTTTTGTTTTATTTTGGTCCTTATCTTTTCCTTTTTTCCTCCCCTTTTTGGTCCTTATCTTTTCCTTTTTTCCTCCCCTCTTTGGTTGATGGTTCCCCCATTTATTCTTGGTTTACTTTCAATTGTAATCATCTTTTTAAAAATAAAGACAGATTGATTAACGAAATCTCCGATACCATCGATTTCTAGATGGTATCAGAGCGGGTTCAAACCCTAATACCCTGATCGTTTTCTTCCTTCAATCAAGATGGCTGGAGGCGGTAACAGTGACAAGACCGGAAGCAGTTCTGGTGGATCCATCGACTACAACTCACCATACTACCTCATTATCCTAAACAACTTCACGTCAACGATGTGTTTACCGACAACAATTATTGAGATTGGTCGCAGGAGATAACGAACTTTCTGTTTACCAAACACAAAATTCAGTTCGTTGATGGCACCCTCAAGAAACCAGAGAAAACATCAAAAGATTACATGTTATGGATGCGGTGCGATGCAATGATAAAGGGATGGCTCACCACAGCAATGGAGAAGAACATTTGTGCTAGCGTCAAATACGTAGGCACCACGGCTAAAATCTGGACAGACCTTCTTGAAAGATTTGGGAAGGAAAGTGCTCCTAGAGCATACGAATTGAGGCAGCAGATCGGAGCTACCCGACAGGGTGGAACATCGGTGTCAACATACTACACCAAACTGCGTTCATTATGGGATGAAATACAATCTGTCCAAAATATTCCTAATTGTTCATGTGGCCTAAGCAAGAAGTTTGTTGAGCACCAAGAAAAGGAAAGACTATGAATTTCTTATGGGACTGGATTCCGAATTCACTGTAATAAGAACCCAGATTTTGGCAACAAAACCAATCCCTACCTTAGGAATGGCTTATCACTTGGTAGCGGAGGATGAGAGGCAAAGAACAATCTCCGTCGACAAGGGGCAGGCGATTGAAACAACTGCGTTCAAAGCCTTTTCGAAACGTGGTGTAGCATCAGCCCAAAATAGAGACAAATTCCCTACAAAATCGAGAGAGAAAAAACAAAGAAGGAGATCATTGCACCTTTTGTGGGAGAGATGGTCACAAAAAAGAAGGGTGCTTCAAGCTTGTTGGGTACCCGGATTGGTGGCCAGGAAAATCTAAAGTTGAAAAGCCAAAACCAAAAGCCGCTTACGTAGAGACTGGGTCTAGGGAATACCCGAATTAACTGACGAACAATACCAAATGTTCGCCAGCCACTTCGCAGGAACTAACGACAACTCGAAGGAAAAGGCAACATCAATGGCAAATATGGCAGGTAGACAAAACGGTAACGAAGAATGGTTTGTTGATTCGGGTTGCACCAAACATATAACACATCAATCCGATCTCCTTGAAAATAGGAGAAAGACTCCTCATGAGGCTCGAGTTATTATACCAAACGGTGAAGCCATTCCCATCGAGAAAAAAGGCGATCACACCTTGCCACGAGGAGTAAAATTAAATGGGGTTCTCCATGTCCCAAATTTCAATTGCAATCTCCTTTCTGTTAGCCGATTGAGTAAAGATCTTCAATGTGTTATAACATTCTTTCCCGACTTTTGTGTTATGCAGGGGTTACGTATGAGGGACTTGATTGGTGCGGGTAGATGCAAAGGAGGGTTGTACCGAATAGGGATGGTGGATGGAAACAGGAGGACATTGATGACAACAATTGACACATGGCACAAGAGACTCGGGCATGCCTCAAAGGAGAAGCTTTCTGGAGTTGAACCCCTTAAGAGTATTTCTTTTGATCATAAAGATAATATTTGTGATTCTTGTGCAAAGGCAAAACTTACCAGAACACCTTTTTATGTTAGTTCAATTAAAACCAATGATTGTTTTGAATTGATCCATTTTGACATATGGGGTGGTTATCATATTCCATCATACACACGGGCAAATTACTTCCACACAATAGTTGATGACTTTAGCAGATCAGTGTGAGTTTTTCTTATTAAGCATAAAAACGATGCTAGTACATGTCTAATCATTTTTTGCAAAATGGTGGAGGTTCAATTTAGAAAAGTTATTAAAAGAGTTAAATGTGATAATGGGAGTGAATTCACATCCAATTCTATGATGGAATTTTATCACCAAGAAGGAATCTTATTGGAAACCACCTGCCCACACACACCCCAACAAAATGGAGTCATCGAGAGGAAACATAGGCACATTCTCGAAACAACCCGTGCCTTAAGATTTAAGGCAAATCTTCTCAAAAGGTTTTGGGGAGAATGTATTTTGACAGCAGCATATATAATCAATCGTCTCCCCTCCAAAGTTATTCAAAACAAGACTCCCTACGAGTTGGTTTTCAATCAAAAACCCGAATATAATCACATGAGGGTTTTCAGTTGTCTTACGTACTTTAAAAATAATAATACCAAAGGAGACAAGTTCGAAGAGAGGGGGAGTCCGGGAATATTTCTAGTTATCCACAAGGGACCAAGGGCTACAAGGTATAAGATATCAAACATGGCAAAATTATTGTTAGTAGAGACGACGTCTTTTGGGAAAACTCTTTTCCTTTCAAAAATTCCAAGTTCGATGAAAGGGATGAGGGCACTGAAATTTTGCAGTATCCAACTGGGACCATAGAAGAAAACAAGCCTATGGATCAACCTAGTGAGCCCATTGACAGCTCAAACGAGCCCAATGCTAGCGATATGGACCTAGAGGCCGAGGTGATGTCATAGACTTGTTGGTGGATAATGAAAACTTCATCCATGGAGAAGAGGTTCGACCACAGAGTGTTGACCAAGATTTTGTGGATCAAAATAATGATGGTCACAATGTTGATGAGCAAACAGAGAACATGAGCAAAAGGGCTAAATCACAGCCGAAACGGTTTCATGACTACATAGTCAAGCTTCCCCCATCAGTCGACCACAAGCAACCCACAACCGATCAAGCTTCATCTACGGTACACCCTATTGCAAATTTTATTTCTTATGAAAAAATTGATGATGCTCACAAAGCTTTCTTATTGGCTATCACTTCAAATGATGAGCCAAAGTATTTCAAAGAAGCAATGCGAGATGATCGCTGGAAAGAAGCCATGAAACGTGAAATTCAGGCCCTTGAAAAGAATGGAACGTGGACTCTTGAAGACTTACCAAAGGGAAAGAGAGCCATAGATTCATAATGGGTCTACAAAGTAAAATATAAGCCTAATGGAGAAGTTGAGAGATTCAAAGCCCGACTTGTTGCTAAAGGATTTACACAGTTGGAAGGCGTGGACTTCCATGACACGTTTGCTCCGGTTGCCAAGTTGGTCATCGTTAGAACACTTCTAGCGGTTGCAGCCAAGAAGGATTAAATTATTCACCAACTTGATGTGAATAATGCATTCCTACATGGAGATTTAAATGAAAAAGTGTATATGAAGATTCCTCAAGGTTTTTCCAAAGAAGGGGAGACTCAAGTTTGTCGACTTCAAAAATCCCTTTATGGTTTGAAACAAGCGTCACGCAATTGGTACCAAAAGTTCACATCTTCTCTCATCGGCCAAAATTTCAAGCAATCCAAAGCTGATCATTCTCTATTCACACACAAAGAAAAGGGTTTGTTTGTTGCTACGCTTATTTATGTTGATGATGTTCTTTTAGTTGGAAATAATTCTTTGAAAATCCAACAAACCAAGAAACATCTTGATGAGGAATTTAGCATCAATGACCTTGGTTTGTTGAAATATTTTCTTGGCATTGAGGTGGCAAAAACATCAGATGGTTTAGTCCCAAGTCAACGAAAGTTCACTCTGGACATATTGAAGGATAGCGGAATGATGGGTTGTCAACCAAGTACTTTTCCCATTGAACCGAATCTAAAACTCGACAGAGGAGAAAAGGAAGCACGAGTTGATGCTAGCTCATACCGACAGCTCATTGGTAAGTTGTTATATTTGTAGGTCACCAGGCCGGATATTGCATATGCAGTAAATGTCTTGAGTCAGTTTGTTGCTGACCCACGACAAAACCATATGGAAGCGGCAAATCGGGTCCTACGGTATTTGAAGGGTACACTAGGGCAGGGTTTACTTTTTCCACGGGTCGGTGAACCTATCTTAACTGCTTATTGTGACGCGGATTGGCTTGGGTATCCTTATTCTAAGCGATCCAGAACCGGGTATTTTCTTCTTTTGGGAGGTGCTCCTATCTCATGGAAGTCAAAGAAACAATCGCTTGTTTCTCGTTCTTCAGCAAAGGCATAGTATAGAGCTATGGCGACAACTGTGAGCAAGATTTTATGGGTCAGATGGCTTCTCAGTAATTTGGAGGTGGTCCTTACTACGCCAATGTCGTTGTCTGTGATAATCAGGCTGCTCGACACATCGCCAACAATCCAATTTTTCACGAAGGAACCAAACATGGTGAAATAGACTGTTATTTTGTTAGAGAGCGAGTAGAGTCTAAAGTGGTTACTCCTATGCACATCGACAACAAGATGCAAGTTGTCGATCTATTAACGAAGGGCTTGGGATCTCGTCCACTTCAATCCTTATCAGTCAAGATAGGCATTAAAGACTTACATGCTCCATCTTAAGGGGGAGTATAGGTTTTTGTTTTATTTTGGTCCTTATCTTTTCCTTTTTGGTCCTTGTCTTTTCCTTTTTTCCTCCCCTTTTTGGTTGATGGTTCCCCTATTTATTCTTGGTTTACTTTCAATTGTAATCATCTTTTTGAAAATAAAGAGAGATTGATTAATGAAATCTCCGATACCATCGATTTCTAGAGATTAGCCCTCCAATTAGATGTGCATTCCATTATACAAAGTTCTTCTCGAGTAAGATGCAGTTGAAGATTAAGAAGAAAGTGACATGCAATTGGTGAGAAATAGCCATTAGAATAAGCGTATAGAAAAATTGGTCCAAAAATGACACTTTGATACATGTTATTGTTGCTAGTGGTTGGAACTTGAGAGCTTAACCAAATACATCATGAACAACTAATAAGGACCACAGAGATTAATCCAGGAATAAGTTGCCTCTTTAAACTTGATATAAATATGCATCAAGAATAAGGAAATGAAGACATAAAACAATGAGTAGCATTTTACTTATGAGCAATGAAGAAAAATGACTTTACTCTTTAAAAAGAACCAAGAACATTTAGGCCCACTAATATCATGTATAGTGTATATATCCGGCAAACGTGTTATAAAATGCCTTTTATCTCTCCCTCAAAGGTTTTTTTCCTTCTTCCTTCCTCTAAGCACCACGATAACCAACCACCAAGGGGATAAGACAGATTGTCGGGAAACACTTTTAAGTAGAGTCATACTCCCTTGGTCTAAAATACAGTCCACTTATGACTTTTTCTTTGTCCCTCAAAAGGAGTAAAATTTGAAAGTTTAACATTAAGATAAATTTAACGTTTCCAAATTGCCCTTCCTTTTTAAAGACTGGAATCATTGGATAAGGAGTTATTTCATTAACTATACATAATAATGTGTCAAATTGTCTAAAATTATGTCTTCAAATTCCTTTATAAACTTGAAGGGGGCACTTATTGGGATGAAGGAGTAATAAAGTTTCAAAAGGTGTCCGGGACCTGAAACTTGAGGTTTGAAATCGGAATCAAAGATCTTTAATTTTGAGTTGGGAATATGATGTGAACTATAGGTACCCATGTAGTAGGATGAAGAACTTCTTTCTAGTGTGATTGGGGATTTAGGATGCTTCATTCGGATCATTAGTCGTCATTGAATTTGTTTTAGTAATTGTCTATTTAGGGTTATCCATGCTTATAAAGTTTCAAAAGGTATCCGGGACCTGAAACTTTAGGTTTGAAATTGGAATCAAAGATCTTTAATCTTGAGTTGGGAATATGATGTGAACTACTGGGACCAATGCAGTAGGATGAAGAACTTCTTTCTAGTGTGATTGGGGATTTAGGATGCTTCAGTCGGATCATTAGTCTTCATTGAATTTTGTTTTAGTAATTGTCTATTTAGGGTTATCCATGCTTATAAAGTGATATATCCCCATGCTATTCACCTATGTTATGGAATGTTGGGTGAATCAAGATCCAATCATGTGATTCAATCTCTCTTGTGGTGATGCCTTACATTATTTTAGGTGTGAATGTGCGATGTTGAAGCGACCATGGCGTTTGTATGGTGGTTAGATATCTTTTCGCATCTCAATAATGATAACAATCTTTAGAGAAATTGAAAATCTAAGAGCTTATAAATTATTGAACTTCTTTATTTTCCAAAACATTATTTTTAATTCAGTTTCTAATGTTCATATTTTGGAAATTTTGCATAATATTTTGTTTGTCTAACTTATACCATCAAAATTACAACATTTGGGTGAAAATAGTACTATGGGAACATTTGGCTATTAGTTCAATATTCAAAATCGGGGGATTTTGTTGATCAATCCCATCAATAGTTTGTAATGATGACAATGGGAATATAAGTAATTTATAGCATGACATTAGTCAAATAAGGGAAAGTTAAAGCTAACATTGTCGTTACAAAATAGAAATTGTTTCAACTTCTATGGAACAAATGGAAAATCATACACAACCTAGGATAAAGCATGGTTTCTATCAGTTGCCAATCCGTTGTATTAGGTGCTTTGGAGTATCGTACTAGGGTGTAGTGGGGTGCCATGTAACACCCAGCCAAGAATGTGAAGTTGGGTTTATAAGTTCTACATGATTAAAGTCTTGGACTAATATGCAATTCCCTGAAAGGCAAGAATCCAACGGTTGATTGATCATTAGTCAAACCTTGAGGACTGGATTTCAAGTAGTCAACCACGTTTGAAATGATCGTGCATTGAAGAGAAGTTTCCAAATTGAGCGGCAACGGTTTAGAGCACATGGTGGTGTTTGATGCATAAAGCAAATGGAGAAACCGTTGCATTTATCTCCTATATTAATTCTAAGCAAAACCCACATAAAACTTGCAAAGAAAGAGCAAGGTTTGAGTAAGGACAGCAGCAAAACAATAGCAAAAACGCTATTAAAGTTCACGACAAAAAAAATTAAGTATGTGTATGGCAAACCATTGTTTAGTTGCTCATTTAGTAGCATTTGGTGTTGTAGATGTGCTTGGCATGAGAATTAGCTTGAAGTGAAGGCCTTAAGGCCACTTATTTGAGAGAAAACACCATTGTTGGTGTGGTGTTAGATACAGAGAAGAAAATGCTCAATTTAGAGCACCATATGTGGATAAAAGTGTTAGTTATGATGCTAAGAGATAGAAATGCATGTTATAATGCAAAAAAAATGGAAGTGGTGCTAAGATGGCCTGAAAATGGCTCGATTTCACACAGGTCGACTCTTGGTACACCGAAAGCAAGCTGGAAAGGAATTTGTGTCAAGTCGTGTAGCTGAATTGTGTCAAGTTGCGTAGCTGAGTCATGAAAAAGATGCTTGTATGCAAGTTATGTAAATAGGAAGCCATGCATGGCTGAGATGCTAGACGAGCTTAAAGGCGACTTGTGAGGTCAAGTATGAAGTCACATAGGCCCCCTGTTAGGTGAGACATCGAGTAGTTCAGTTAGGTACTTAGGTTGATATCAGTTTAGGTATTTTGGGTGTGCCATGCCACGAGGTGAATGTTGACCTTATAAAGGGTAGTTGACCACAATTAATGGGCAATCCAGGGTGGGTTGAGAATACAAGAAAGACAAATTTGGCCTGTTTTTAATGAAAATATGAAAATTCAGATATTATATAACTTGACATGAAGGCTTGAATCTAAATTACAACTTATGTCTTATGCTTACAAAAGAGAAGGGCACAAATTCTGTTTTTTATATTGCAGACTTTAGAGTCGTATGGGTGCACCAAATATATTGAAAGCATGATAAGACTTGAGGGTTGTTTACCAAATGTTTACTGGCATGAGCTCCACCCTCACTTAGCTTATCAGGTAACATTTCCGGCCATCAAAATGGATTGATAGTAAGCATATATCATCCTGTAAGCGCTAACCGGGTAATAGTCGTCACCCTCACTTATCGGGTAAGACTGTCGATTCTTCCTTGCCTCTTACCATGTTAGACTCTCGATTCTTCCTTGTCTTTTACTGTGTAAGATTTTGGGCCCTTGATATGCTCACCCAGTAAGGTAAGTGACCAGACAAGCACTTACCAGCTTAAACGGTAAGCGTGTGGTAAATGGCCCCTTAGGCATAAGTATGTGTGTGTTTATATATTTGAGCTAGGATTATACAAGATACTTATTCTTTTATTATGTGGTTTAAACTATAGAAAAAGAGTAAATTACAATTTTTGTTTCTGTGCTTTGATGAAATTGCTACTTTCGTCACTGGTCTTTCGACAAAGTTTTTGTCAAAGTGGTTTGCAATTCCTTTCGGTTTTTGTTCCTCGAACTAACTCTGTAAAAAAATCCGTTAATCACGGGCATTTTGGTCATTTACCAGGGACTAGAGTAGCAATTTTCAACAATACACAAGCCCGGCATACAAGCCAAAGGAGGAAGCTGACATTATTGCAGATTATATAACCTCATTCAAAATCCTCAACTGAGATTTTCAACTTCACAGACAATCAGACATAAATTCATATGCTTATTCAATGATGTTCAGAAGAAACTAAAAAGAAGCAATCCGATTCCATCCTAAGTTAGTAAGATAACAACTACAGTCTACAGATCAATGAAACAAACACAATCGACTCTCGAAACAACTTAAAGACCATTATTAAGTAGAGATCTAAAAGAAGTAAAGTAGATGTTAGAACCTGGATGTTTAAAAATTTTGAAACCTTAGTGGATAGATAAGCCCCAATTCTCTTAATCAGGTGTAAGAGATCGTTCTTTGAGGAATCAGCCATGTCTGTTAGACCTTGTTTGAAGCATCAAAGAGGAAAATCTTTAAGCTCCCATGGCTTGGAGAGAGGGTTTGATTGAAGAAGCTGTGGTGAAAGAATTGTGTTGGATAGCGTGAACGAATATCGATACATAACAAAAGCGTATCAAGCAACTGAAGAAGCTTGGAACCTGATTTATAATTTTCAAAACCCAACTATTTTGTTTAGTATTAAAATATTATGTTATATTTAATATTCCTCTAAGTCTCGTAAAATAAAGCATATAATTTTAATAAAAAAGTAGCATATTTTAACTTGATTTTTATTTTAAATAACGTATTTTTAAAATTTTTATTTTAATATCTAAAATGTAAAGTTTTAAACATTTAAATACCCAGATAATCGGTTGAAAGTTTTTTTAATTAATAAAAGCATAATTTTACCCTTTTTCTATGGATGGAGAAATTTTTCTCATCTAATAAATGTATAATGAAAAAGTGAGTATTTATTTTTGAAAATAGTTGATTATTTTAATACAAACTAAAATAATAATGTAGATATTAAGGAACGCAAATACACGAGCATATAAATGTAAATATGTCATAAGTTAACGAATACAACCAAGTTGTTCCGACCCATCACTGCAAATTTCACAAAACAAAACAATAGTCAAAATCAGAAACCCTTCACAAAAGTTTTGATAGGAAGCATTAAAAAACCCAAACTCAAATTCAAAATATTCATGGAAACCATAGTATGAAAGTATTCAGAATCCCAAAATCAGGTATAAATATTATAAAAAACCAAAGTAGCCAATCAGAATCACAAAGCAATGGAAGATTCAAAATCATAAAGAGCGCACAGTAGGCATTCTAATAAACCACAGTAGCTCAAAACCATAGTAGCTGATTTCGAAAATGGTTGTCGATTTCGAAAACTGATTTTGAGTTCGTGGAATCGATTTCGAAAACTGATTTTGAGTTCCTGGAATCGATTTGGTGCAGGAAAGTATGGAGAAATTGACAACCATGGAAGACAGAGAATACATTATACGTGAATCTAAAATCAAGTTCGAGTTCGTGGAACCTGGAGTGTAGATTCGTCTTTGAGTTCGTGGAAGATGGAGGTTAGAATCGTGTTGCAAGATGAAGAAAAATGGAGACGATGGAGTTTAATTAGGCTTCATATTTGATATCTATACTACCTTATAAATCAAATTTATCAAATTTTTAAAAATAATTTTTAATGCACAAAGTACTATACATTTATGCACAAAGTCTTAAAAACAACTCATAATTAATTAAATAATATTACTTTATGCATTCAGTTTTAGAATATCTTAATCTACAGTTAAAATAACATGTAATACAAGTCACCAATGCACATTATTACTTTTTCTTTTCATGTTCTCAATATACTTTTGATACATTTCACTCATATCTTCACCCTCTCATACCTCTATGGCTCTATGTCTTCTTCTCATCCCACAATGTGAGATTCAAGCTGTTATTCACCACAAGTTATTAAAAGTTCTCTCATTCAATTGTTCTAGAACTCTCGATCTCGCTCTCGATCTCTTGATTTTTTGCTCTTGATGTAAATTGAACACATTTTTTTATCAATAGACTGTAATTGGAACCATAACTCTTATTTATTCAAATTGTATTAATATGTAAAAATCAAGTGTTTCTTATATAATCGTTAAATCTTTTATAATAAAACCCGTAAAACTTCAAAATAGTTAAAATTCGCCGCGGATACACAAATAATAAAGTAATAATATAATAGTGTAATCTCAAATATTACAATATTAAAGGGAAGGTAATTTATTTTCGATTAATATAACAAATATTGAGATTAAAACATTACACTTATTAATTCACGTCACATACAAAAACTAATTGAACTCCATCGCCTCATCTTTCTTCATCTTGCACTCGATTTTAGCTTCCGTCTTCCACGAACTCGAAGACGAATCCACACTCCCGCTTCCACGAGCTCGAACCTATTCCAGATTCAGGTACAATTTCTTCTCTATCTTCCATGGTTGTCAATTTCTCCATACTTTCCTACACCAAATCGATTTCAGGAACTCGAATTCAGTTTTCGAAATCGATTCCACGAACTCAAAATCAGTTTTCCGAATCGACAACGATTTTTGAAATCAGCTACTATGGGTTTGTGCTACCGTGGTTTATTAGAATGGCTACCGTGGGTTCTTTATGATTTTGAATCTTCCATTGCTTTGTAATTTTGATTGGCTACTGTGGTTTCTTAGAATATTTTGACCTGCTTTTGGATTTTGAACACTTTCATACTATGGTTTCTATGAATATTTTGTATTTGAGTTTGGGTTTTTGAATGCTTCCTATGAAAGCACTATTGAATAGGTGAATCTATATAACTTACAAAATCATCAGCAACTTATAAAATTGCTCCAACGCTTTAGAGAAGGTTTTAAAAGTCATTCACACCCCTAATATTTAAAATTGATGCAACACTTTTATAAAATTAATTTTTATTGAATTGAATATTATCACAACAAATTCCTAATATTCAATCCTTGTGCTTGTTATACCAGATATTTTGTCAATCTGGTTTGGCATCCAAAGTCAAGGATGTATATCATTCCTTCAAAGTGCTATTGCCTAACTAAATGAGATGCTGAATACACTTTTGTTGCTTTGGGTTTTTGGATTGAATTTGTGCATTTATATATGTAATTGGTAACGTCGAACACTTGAAAGAATTTAAGTTCTTCTGTCAAGGAAAAGGTCAAACCCGTAATTTTCAATGCGATAAGAACATTGGCATGGGTTTGTTGAACATTGGTATGTTATGTCAATCTTCAACAAAAATGGTCATTCGTCGGTATGTTAGAGCGAGCTACAAATGCAGGACAACTAGCTAGCACTGCGATTTCCCCTGCTATTTTGCCACTATGAACTGCAATACCACCGCTATAGCGGTGCGATTAACGGCATAAGTTTTTTACTTTAAAAGCTTTTGAAATTGACAATACTGTGCTAGACCTAAAATAGGCAATGTGTATCTTGATTTTAGTTGATTGTTCTTATATGCATGACTTACGCTTCAATGAAAACATTTGTCTAGAGAACAATTAGAGCTCTCGACTTGAGTCATATATCATTCTTTTCTATCTCATATCATTAGATTTATTGTTACGGAGTGAATGTTGCTTATAGATTGTTGACATTTACTCCCTCTTTCCAAAAATAAGTGTTCACATATCAGTTTTAGTTTGTGCGAAAATAATTGTTCACATTTCTAGTTTAGTTTGTCCCGAAATAAGTGTTCACATTTATATATTAATTTGTCCTAAACTAAGTGTCTACTTTCCAATTCTACCCTTCATCGTGAGATTGGAGAAATTTATTACACCCTCTGTTACCAAGGGTACAATTGTCATTAAGTAAAAGGTTTAATAATTACACATTTTCAGAGTTGTGTGCCTTTTTTATTGTAGACATTTATTTTGTGATGGAAGCAATACCTTTCTATATCATGTAACCTTCTTAATGGACGAGTTCTTAGTATCCTTTTTTGTAATACGATGAAGCTTTGGACGGAAGACTTGTGAAAAACATGGAGCATGTTCTAAATTTAGGTGGCTCATCCCCAACTATGCTCGGATCATTTTCCTCACCTCGGCAATGTATTGCAAGCCAGATTGCCTATAAATGGAGTTATCAATCTATGCGGATCAATGATAGACTTTCGTCCCTCTTCTTTGACAAATGCCGCCAGGTACTTTAAGCATTGCAAATTGCAATCGCAATAATATCATCTCAAATTTTAAGTTCATTTCTTAACGTTGTTGTCAATGTTGTTTGTATGTTAAATTTTCTTTGCAGGTTAAAGATGCATATATTAGGTTATATGGGGATAATTATGTGAGAACCACAAAAAGATTACAAACCCATGGGAACAAATCGTAATGATTGTTTCATATGACTTTTTTCATCTAAGGCTAGGATTTAAGGTATTGTTTCATATATATATATTTTGTTTCACAATGTGAAACAACATTGCACGTTGTAGTGTTTCACAATGTGAAACAACACATGGTTCATTGGTTCTCACAGTTCTCAACCTTCTTAGGTTCTCATTTGATTATCCTCCTTAGGCAACTATCATGCTTATGATCGAATTTATTAGAGTAGGTTTGTTCTTAATCAGTTCAAGTTTTAGCCTTTCTTCCATCTGTTGTGTTATATGTCCTCTTTATCCCATGAAAATTCCAATGTCTCCTTTTCTTTTCTTTTTTCCCCAAATAAATATAATTATGCGTATCCTGGAAACTAATACATTCGGTGTAGTTGCAGTGTACACATGAACTACATGGGCCACAAACATCAAGAACCTCCATTTTTGCTTGCCAGATGCCTGCTCGTGATATTCGTTACAGCAAGAAACGGTTGAGCCACCCKCAAAATGCAGATCTTYCTCCCRTATTACCSAAGAGAAAGAAGAAACCGTATCCAATTCCTCTGAAGAAAATTCTGGAAGCTTCACGGGCCGACAAAAAACTTGCAGAAATGGGTAAAGAGAAGCCACTTGAGCCTCCGAAGAACGGGCTTCTTGTTCCTGATCTGGTTCCAGTTGCCTATGAAGTTCTTGATGCTTGGAAGATCTTGATCAAAGGAGTTTCACAACTTCTTCATGTCATTCCTGTCCATGCTTGCAGGTTTGTCAAACACCT